CCCAGCTCAGCCTTCCAAGTAGCTGAGATTACAGGTGTGCCACCATGCCCGGCTCATTTTTATTTTTGTAAAGACAGGGTCTTGCAATGTTGCCCGGGCTGATCTTGAACTCTGGCCTCAGGTGGTCCTCCTGCCTTGGCCTCCCAAAGTGTTGGGATTATAGGCATGAGCCACTGGGCCCAGCCTACTTGCCATGTTTTTTTGTTTTGTTTTGTTTTTTGTTTTGGACACAGAGTTTCAGTCTTGTTACCCAGGCTGGAGTGCAATGGTGCAGTTTCAGCTCACTGCAACCTCTGCCTGCCAGGTTCAAGCGATTCTCCTGCCTCAGCCACCAGAGTAGCTGGGACTACAGGCACCGCCACTACGCCTGGAAAATTTTTTGTATTTTTAGTAGAGACTGGGGTTTCACCATATTGGCCAGGCTGGTCTCAAATGCCTGACCTCAGGTGATCCTCCTGCCTCAGCCTCCCAAAGTGCTGGGATTACAGGTGTGAGCCACCGCACCGGCTTTTTTTTTTTTTTTTTCAACTTAACGTAATCTCAGAACCCTATCTTTTTTTTTTTTTTGAGACGGAGTCTCACTCTGTTTCCCAGGCTGGAGTGCAGTGGCGCGATCTCCACTCACTGCAAGCTCCGCCTCCCGGGTTCACGCCATTCTCCTGCCTCAGCCTCCCGTGTGGCTGGGACTACAGGTGCCCGCCACCGCGCCTGGCTAATTTTTGTATTTTTAGTATAGACAGGGTTTCACCATGTTAGTCAGGATGGTCTCGATCTCCTGACCTCGTGATCCGCCCATCTCGGCCTCCCAAAGTGCTGGGATTACAGGCGTGAGCCCCCGCGCCCGGCCTCAGAACCCTATCTTAGGCCACAAAAGGCCCATCTCAGTGTGGCTTTTTCTTTTTTTTATGAGAGAGAGTCTCGCTCTGTTGCCCAGGCTGGCGTGCAGTGGCACCATCTCAGCTCACTGCAACCTCCGCCTCCTGGGTTCAAATGATTCTCCTGCCTCAGCTTCCTGAGTAGCTGGGATTACTGGCACCCACCACCATGCCCAGTCAAGTTTTATATTTTTAGTAGAGACGGGGTTTCACGTTGACCAGGCTGGTCTCGAACCCTGACCTCGTGATCTGCCTGCCTTGGCCTCCCAATGTGCTGGGATTACAGGTGTGAGCCACCGCGCCTGGCCTCAGTGTGGCTCTTTAAAGCTCCATAATATTTCAGCATTCAGGTGCCCTGTCATTTACTTAACTATTTTCTGATACACCTCACACTGTGATGAACTTTTTTTTTTTTTTTTTTTTTTTTTTTTGAGACGGAGTCTCGCTCTGTTGCCCAGGCTGGAGTGCAGTGGCGCGATCTCGGCTCACTGCAAGCTCCGCCTCCCGGGTTCACGCCATTCTCCTGCCTCAGCCTCCCGAGTAGCTGGGACTACAGGCGCCCACAACCGCGCCCGGCTAATTTTTTGTATTTTTAGTAGAGACGGGGTTTCACCGTGGTCTCGATCTCCTGACCTTGTGATCCGCCCGCCTCGGCCTCCCAAAGTGCTGGGATTACAGGCGTGAGCCACCGCGCCCGGCCTGTGATGAACTTTTTAAATAATTTTTTATATTTATTTATTTATTTATTTATTTATTTGAGACGGAGTCTCGCTCTGTCACCCAGGCTGGAGTGCAGTGGCACGATCTTGCTCACTGCAACCTCTGCCTCCCAGGTTCAAGTGATTCTCCTGCCTCAGCCTCCTGAGTCGCTGATATTAGAGGCATGCGCCACCATGCCCGGCTAATTTTTGTAATTTTAGTAGAGATGAAGTTTCACCATGTTGGTCAGGCTGGTCTTGAACTCCTGACCTCGTGATCCGCCAGCCTCAGCCTCCCAAAGTGCTGGGATTATAGGCATGAGCCACTGCGCCTGGCCATCTTTTTTTATTTTTTAAAGAGATGGGTTCTGCTATGCTGCCCAGGCTGGACCTGAACTCTTGGGCTCAAGTCATCTCACCTAGTCTCCTGGGTAGCTGCGACTAAAGGCACCCGGTTTATCTGCATTCTCTTTTTTTTATTTGAGACTGAGTCTTGCTCTGTAGCCCAGGCTGGAGCACAGTGGCATAATCTCGATTCACGGCAACCTCTGTCTTCAGGGTTCAAGCAATTCTCCTGCCTCAGCCTCTCGAGTAGCTGGGACTACAGGCGCGTGCCACCACAGCCAGCTAATTTTTTTTTGTGTGTGTATTTTTAGTAGAGATGGGGTTTCACTATATTGGCCAGGCTGGTTTTGGACTCCTGACCTCAAGTGATCCGCCTGTCTCGGCCTTCCAAAGTGCTGGGATTACAGGCACAGGCGTGAGTCACCACGCCTGTCCTATCTGCATTCTCTTAATAGTTTCTTAGGAATGGATTCTTAGGAGTAGGATTATAGAGTCAAGAGACACAAATATTCTAGGCTGGGTGCGGTGGCTCACGTCTGTGCCTGTAATCCCAGCACTTTAGGAGGCCAAGGTGGGCAGCTTGATTGAGCTCAGGAATTCGAGACCAGCCTGGGCAACATGGTGAAACCCCATCTCTAAAAAAATACAAAAATTAAACCAGGCGTGGTGGTGTGTGCCTGTAGTCCTAGCTACTAAGGAGGCTGGGGTGGGAGGATCGCTTGAGCCCAGGAGGTTGAGGCTGCAGTGAGCTGTGATTGCACCACTGCACTCCAACCTGGGCCACAGAGTGAGACCCTGTCTCCAAAATAAAAAAGATACAAGTATCCTTAAAGCTCCTGCTACCCATGGCCAGGAAGATAGTCTATTGGACAGTTTTAAGGTCATATCAATATTATTTAATTCCCCCCAAAACTCTGTAAAGCACATTCTGTTACCATAATTCTCATATTTTTGATGGGGGAATCTACAGTGAGAGGCAGTGCTGGGATCTGAACCCTATCTGGACAGATTAGCTCCAGGGCCCATGCCCTTGACTGCCTGGCCATGCTGCCCACACTGAGTTGTTCCTTCCTGGCAGTGTAGGTGTGCCTATCTCAGGGACATCAGACAGCTCCGAGGGACCTCCCTGTCCTTTTTCTTTGTGAACTGTGTCACGTTCTCCAGAGCAGCGCTCAGCCCTGCCCTGCCTGCTCCGTGCAGATGATCTTGGCCAAGGTTTTCACACTGGAACAAGTTGGGCCCTCCTCCCCACCCCAGCCTCCCCTTGCCCCTCCTCCAGGTCTCCTGCCTAGGAGCAGCTTGCCCTGTCTCCTCCAGAGTCCTGCCCTAGAAGCCCCAATCCCTCTCCTTCCATCCCCTGCCTGGCTGCCTGGCTCCTTCCCTCAGCCTCCAAGACATGCTCAGTTTTCTTCCCGCCTAAAACACTGCCCACTGTCTCATTTCCATTCATTTCTTTCTTTTCTTTTCTTTTTTTTTTTTTTTGAGAGGGAGCCTCACTCTGTCACCCAGGCTGGAGTGCAGTGGCATGACCTCCACTCACCGCACCCTCTGCCTCCCAGGTTGAAGCAATTCTCCTGCCTCAGCCTCCTGAGTAGCTGGGATTACAGGTGCCTGCCACGATGCCTGGCTAATTTTTGTATTTTTATTAGAGACGGGGTTTCGCCATGTTGGCCAGGCTGGTCTGGAGCTCCTGACCTCAGGCAATCCGCCCGCCTCGGCCTCCCAAAGTGCTGGGATGACAGGCGTGAGCCACCGCGCCCGCTCATTCATTTCTTAGTCCTTTGCATCTACTTGCCCCTCTATCCCGCCATGCCACCTATAATAAGCTTCCCCCTTAAACCTGCGGGTTTGGCTGGGCGCAGTACACTGAGTCAGTACCGGTACTGACCCAGGTACCCCTCCAGCCTCAGCTCCAGCCAGATGGGATGGCCTGCTGGTCCCTGGCTGCTCCTGCCCCCTCTTCTGGAGTCCCAGTCCTCGAGGCTCCATGTAGCTCAGCAGAATTTCTCCTCCTGTTGTGGGGGCCTCTTGAGGGCAGCACTCACCTTGGGAAGCATGGAGTGTTTCACCCTCAGTGCTCCCTGAAGGACCAAGGTGTCCCATTTTACAGTTGGGGGAGGAGGCACTGTGATAAAGGGGCTCTTCAGACCCATGTCTGAGAGAGCCAGGCTGCTGCCCCCGCAGCCTCCCACCCTTCACTGTCCAGCCAGGGCCACTGCCATCACCGCCTGCCGGCCCTCACAGGCATCGCGGTCCCAGGCAGTGAGAAGGTGGCTGCTGACTCCTTTTTCCTCCCCAGCTGCCCGGGAACTGGTGAGCAAAGAGGGCTTCCGGCGGGCCCGGCACGTGGTGGGGGAGATTCAGCGCACGGCCCAGGCAGCGGCCGCCCTGAGACGCGGTGACTACAGAGCCTTTGGCCGCCTCATGGTGGAGAGCCACCGCTCACTCAGGTGAGGCTCTCTGGGCGCCCCGCTCCTGCCAGGCGCAGGCCGGCCCCAGGCCCACCCCTTCGATATCCTCTCTGCAGAGACGACTATGAGGTGAGCTGCCCGGAGCTGGACCAGCTGGTGGAGGCCGCACTCGCTGTGCCTGGGGTTTATGGCAGCCGCATGACGGGAGGTGGCTTCGGTGGCTGCACGGTGACACTGCTGGAGGCCTCTGCCGCTCCCCACGCCATGCAGCACATCCAGGTGGGTGGGCACCAGGGCCTGGGCGGGCAGGAGTGGCGGCTTCCCGGGGCCCTGCCACTCACCCCCAGCCTGCCTCTCACAGGAGCACTATGGCGGGACTGCCACCTTCTACCTCTCTCAAGCGGCCGATGGAGCCAAGGTGTTGCGCTTGTGAGGAGGCCCCAGGACAGCACACGGCGAGGGTGCAGGGCCTGCAGGCCAGTCCCATGGCTCTGTGCCTGGTGCCACCTTCCGTATCTGGGTGCTCAATAAACTTGTGCCTCCAACGTGGTACCTGCCTGCCTCTAGAGGTGGGTGTATGCTTGGGTGTCAGAGAATGGGGGATGTCAGAACCGCTCCCCCACCCTCGGCGAGCACCTCTCAGGCCCCAGAAGAATGGGCAAGGCAGGGCCTAGCAGTAGCAAAACTGTTTATTAAGTGCAGAACAAAGGCTGGGTCCTTGTGCTGCTCCCAGCTCTTTGGTTACAAATAGGTTTGGGCCCAGAGAGGGGGTCCTTGCCCCCTTCATGCCTCCCAGGAGACACCTAGCCCCTGCTCTGTGCATGTGGGTGGGCTGGGCGGCCAGGGGTGCAAGGGTGGAGTAGCTGAGGAGGCTCTGGGAGAGGAGTTGGAAGGATGCCTAGTGGGACATGGCGGGGGTGAGGCAGGGTGGGATCAGGTTTGGAAGAACTGTTGGTCCACCTGGGTGCTGAGGGTTCCGCTGGTGGTCAGCGTCCGGCTCACAAACTCCTGGGTCACATGCCGGGTGAGGGAGCCGCCTGCCTCCAGGTGCTGGGCCCCCAGGGTCAGCCCATCTGTGGAGGAGGAGGCATTAGATGACCTGGCCTGGGGTCTGCCCCTCTCCCTCTGCTAGCTCCCTGTCCTGGGAGAGCCGGGACCCCCTGGCCCTCAGTGCTCACCCACTAGGAAGGGCTCGGTGGCGCTGGTGTGGGTGGTGGTGATGCTGCTGTACTCACTTTGCAGTGGGTGCTGGAAGAGCCCGGCATGGCTGCCCAGCTGTGGGAAGGGGCCTGGAGTGGGCAGATTGGCTGGTCAGAGGGTGGTGCCAGGAGAAGGCACGGCCCAAGGAGGAGTGGGAGGTGAAGGAAAGGACAGGTGCCTACCTCCATCCTGGGACTCTATGGTGATGATGCCCTCGCGCTCTGGCCCGAAGCCCTCAGTGGTCCTGGCCTGCACCTTGAACTTGTAGGGCACGTTCTCGCTGAGGCCCGGCACGGTCAGCCGGCTCTCGGGGCTGTCGCCATCCACCCGGAATGTAGTGGCTGGCCCTGAGCAGAGAAGATGCCTTCAGCCTCTGTGGCCCCTCTCTACCCCTCCCCTGGCCACCCCTGCCCCCGGGGCGGGCAGCACCTCCTCCTTGGGCCATCTCACAGGTCACCAGGTAGCCGACGATATCCCCATTGGGCCTCCGTGGCCGCTCCCAGCTCAGCTGCAGCGAGTCTGGGCTCAGGGCAGTGAACACCAGCGGACCTGGGGCGCTGGGAGTGCTCAAAGTGAAGGCGGAGCCTGGGGGCAGTAGAGGAAGAGCGTCAGCGTGTGGGTGGGTGGTGGGCATGATGGGGGCAGCTGTGGGGCTAGGGGAGGCAACTCACCTGGCAGGGGACAGAGTGGGCTCTGCGGGTGCACCTGGGATTCGATGGTGATGACACCCTCACGCTCTCGGCCCCAGCCTTCCTGGCTCTGGGCCCGCACGCGGAACACATAGGAGTGGTTGGGCAGGAGGTCTTCCACCACCACTGAGGTCTGGGCAGGGTTGGGGATGTTGAGCCGATGTAGCTCGCCTGAGGGGTCAGGTGGGGGCAGAGAGTAGTGCAGTGTTACTCCCACCCCTGGCCTGATCCCCCTCTTCCCTAAGCTGCCATCGAGACCTGGTTATCACCCACCCAGGACTAGCTGTGGTTTGGGTACAGGTTGGGTACAGTATGGTATGGCTGGTTGTTCAGGTTGTGTACTATACAAGAGTGGAGCCTGAGGCCGGGCGCGGTGGCTCAAGCCTGTAATCCCAGCACTTTGGGAGGCCGAGGCGGGCGGATCACAAGGTCAGGAGATCGAGACCACAGTGAAACCCCGTCTCTACTAAAAATACAAAAAATTAGCCGGGCGCGGTGGCGGGCGCCTGTAGTCCCAGCTACTCAGGAGGCTGAGGCAGGAGAATGGCGGGAACCCGGGAGGCGGAGCTTGCAGTGAGCCGAGATCGCGCCACTGCACTCCAGCCTGGGCAACAGCGTGAGACTCCGTCTCAAAAAAAAAAAAAAAAAAAAAAAAAAGAGTGGAGCCTGTAATCCCACTCATGTTTGGGTAAAATCCTGCGCCCTGGTCATGCTGCTTTGAATGTGCCTGCCCAGGGAAGTGAAACTTCCTCGTTCCCCCCAAAGGCATCTCAGGCCAGGAGAGGCCCTAGGATCCCAGCCCAAAGAGGCCTTGTTAGGCAAAACCTAGCAGAGAATGACCAGGAGAGAGGCCCAGGGAGATGGGTGAGACCTCAGAAGAGGGGAGGCAAAGAAGTGGGGTGGGAGACCCTCTCGGGCTGGATGGGGGCTTTAGCGCTCAAGGGATTCGGGTGGGTTCTGACACAGCTGGTGCCCTATGTGTCACCCTGGGGCCAGGCCTCACGGGGCTGCACCCCACAGCCCAGCAGCCACCATGTCTCACCGCCGTTCAGCAGCTGGTACTCCACGCTGTAGCCCTGCAGCGGCCGCTCGCACCGTGGCTCCTGCCAGCTCACTCTGAGAGATGTGGGTCCCAGGGCAGAGAACACCAGGCGGGTGGGCGTGTCGGGCACACCAGCGGTCAGGCGAGAGTCTGGGGACAGGAGGCTGCAGTCAGTCAGAGATGCAGGGCCTGGGGTCTCAGTGGGAGTCACAGTGCTGCCCCCTGACCTCCCTCCCTCAGCTGGCATGTCTACGCTGATCACCGGCTGGACAACTCACCCTGCAACACCCTATCCAGGCTGCCCAGCACCTACCGCACATCCTCCAGGAGGGTGCGGGCCCTGCCTGTGCCAAGAGAGGGTGAGCCCTGTGAGCCTGCCAGCCCCACCCCCTCAATTCCTCAGCTGGCCTGGCCCCTTTCCTGCCCCAGCCATAGCCCCGCCCCCTGGAAGGGCAGAGGCAGTGTTAGGCATCAGCACTGATGGTAGGGCAGGTGGTTAGCGCCTGTGGGCAGGCGGGGGTCCTGTGGATGGAATGGAGGGGAAGCAGTGGGCACAGCTGGCGGCTGCTATGGTGGCTGGATGACAGCTGGATGACAGATGGAGCAGGACAGCTGTGGAGACAGGATGGCCACCCCTGTACTACCTGGGCCCCAGGAGGGCGCTGCTGGCCTCCCAGCCAGGATTATAGAGTCTCGTGGGCCCCTGGAAGGGGGGAACCCTTTCATCTGAGCCCGACTCCGGGACCCCAGAGCCCAGGACAGCGGAAGCCTGCTCCTCCCGTGTTCCCAGATGGGAGGGAGGCCTAGGGCAGGACAAAACAAGAGTGAGAGGATCAAGGAGTGTGCATGCATAAGTGTGCATGCGTGCGTGTGTGCATGCATGTGTGCGTGTGTGCATGCATGTGTGTGTGTTGGAGAATGGACCGTCGGGACAGCAGGCAGAAGCCCGAGGCTCCAAGAGCTGGAAGAGAGGAAGGGTTAGTGGGCGAGGCAGGGTTGGCTGAGGTCACTCACCGTGGGAGGAGACGGAGGTGAGGGTGGAGTAGTCCCTGGGCAGTGTGGTCGAGTGTGAGTGTTCCGAGCGGGTCAGCGAGTGGTAGTCCCGTGTGAGGGTGGAGGATGTGCTTAGTCCTCGGTGGGGCACGTGGGGGCTCAGGTGGGTTCCATAGGCAGCGGCACCGGTCGTGGTCATCCTGTGCAGGGAGTTGGCGCTGCCCGGGAAGGCAAAGTCCATCCGGCCATTCACTAGGTGCTCTGCAAGGGGAGAGCAGGGTCCCTTAGTCAGGCCTGCCCCAGACCCAGGCCCCAAGGAGCAGGTTGGCCCTGCGCATTCCTGGTCACCCACCCTCTGGGTGGCTTTTGCTTAAATACAACCAGTTTCCCTCAAACCACTAGGGACAGAGGCCCTCTGTCCCTGGAGGAGCCCAAGGGCCACCCAGGCTTCCACAGCCCATGTCCTCTGGCTGGCCACTATATCGGTATGAGCACAGCCCACCCTGGCAGTGGTGGGGGATTTGCTGCCCCTGCAGTCAGTCCTGCCTTGGGGAAATCCCAAAGCCTTCCCTCCTGTCCTTTGAGGCCCCTGAGCAGTCTACTTGGGTGCCAGGGTCCGCTCCCCGAGCAGACTTCTGAATTTGCACCCCCTGGCCAGGCAGGCACCATAAGGGCCCAAGCGCCTGCCTCGGGTGTCCTCTGGCACTCGGCCCTGCCTCTGAGCAGCTGTGTCCCCAGCCGCCAAGGCCCCAGCCTGGCTGAAACTGGGGCCCCGAGGCAGCGCAGACACCCACCCCAGGCCCCCAGGCCCGCGGGCATGAGTGAGGCTGGTTGGGCGCGGATCGGGGCGCGGCGGGTGAGCCTGTCACCTCCGGGGGGCCCGGGTGTCGCACTGCGGGGCAGGCTGCCCCCCTTCCCGCCCGCGCCGCCGTCCTCCGGGGGCCCGTGGGGCGCCTCGGCGTCGGAGGAGCGCCCGCTGCTGGCCGACAGGCGCGGGATGAGCTCCGGGGGCAGCCGCCACGTGACGCGCCGCAGGTCCAGCTCCTCCCCCAGCAGGGGCTCGAACTTCCAGCCGCAGCCTTGGGAACAACGAAGGGCCGCGTTGGCACCGCCTAGGAGCGCCAGGCCGAGCAGGGCCAGGCAGGGGAAGGCCGGAGGCGCTGCGAGGGGAGCCTGTCTCCAGCCCCCGGGATCGCAGGGAGCTGCGAGGGTAGATGCGCAAGGCCGGATGGGGAAGGCCTGCGGCAGGTGAAACCCTCGCGCGGCTGGAGGCTTTCCAGATGAGCAAGTGCAGCCTTGGCACAGCTGGGGAGGAGAGACCCCCTGACCCGCCAGGAGACCTGGGGGAAGCCTGGGCTCTGTCACCAGCTGTGAGGTCTCCCTTGCCTTACTTAACCTCTCTGAGACTCAGTTTCCCATTTGTACAATGGAGAGAGGACTCTCGCCCCTGCCTGCCTCCCAGGGACTGTTCCGCAAGCCACCGAGCGCTTCGCAGGTAGTGTCAGAAGCAGCTGAGCTGAGGTTCCAGAGTCACACCAGCTGCGCTCCACCTGAACCCCTCAAAATGGCTCCTTAAGCCCAAGCTCAGCCCCGTGGGGGCCAGTATGTGTCCACTGGGGGCAGCTTGAGGCATAGGCAGGGACGGAAGAAAATACAAATGATATACGTGCCCCGGAGGCTTTTCCACTCATGGTACTGTGTGATTGGTATCCCATTATACAGAGCAGAAAACTGACACAAGGAGAGGATAAGTGATTCATCTGATGTCCCACAGGTGGAGCCAGAGCTGACACTGAGCACTCAGGAGGCCCAGCTAAGGGCTCTGCACCACTTTGTTCTGGGAATCAAGGAGGAAGGACAGAGCCGTTGGGGGGTGTTCTTGTCTCCTTGGCTCCCCTACCCCTGCCAGGTGGCCACCTGGTGGCTGCCCAGGGCTTCTGGGCCTGGCCCCGGGGGGTGGCCTGAGTGTCCTGTGTGCATGGCAGAGCTGCTCAACCTTCAAGTTGTGAAGTTGTGTTTCTTCATGGTCCCGTGGGCATGAACTCGTGTGTGCTTGCACAAGGCTGTGTGTGTCTGTCCCCCAGGCACTGGTTCCTGTGCCCCGTGCACAGATGTGCACACCATTGCATCTGTCCAAGGCTGTCTTAACCTCCATGTCCTCTAGTTGCTGGCCCCTTTGCCCTCTCTCTGGACCCAGTGGACTCCCTCTGTACCCAAGACCCCCACTGTCTTCTTGTGGGTCCCAGGTCTCCACTCACCGGTGTCATCAGAGACGCTGGGCCTCTGGCTGCCAGATGGAGAGCGTAGAACATCATCGCTGTACATAAGGAAGCTGTCGTAGTCCTCCCCGCTCTGGGCGTCCACGATGGGGATGTCAGGGATGATGGGGACTGCAGGGTGGGGGAGTGAGCCAGGGCCCTGGCTGCTGCCCTCTGTCCCCCTACCCCGTCTGCCCCTCACCTCCCTGCCCACCACTCACTGGACATGGGCCGCTTGGGTTGGGTGGCCAGGTTGATGATGGCCTCCCGCTCAGGCCCCCAGCCGGCCCCGTTGCGCGCCTTCACCGTGTAGCGGTAGGGCTGGGACTCCCGAAGGTTCTCAATGAGCAGCATCCGGTTCTTAGGATTGTCAACCAGCACCTTCTTCATGGGCCCGATAGGTCCTGGGGCAGGGAGAGTGCTTCAGAGGGTCACCCAGGTCCCAGCCTGGTCCCAGCACCAGCCCTGACACAGTAGGACAGTTGTGCATCCCCTGGATAGCACCCAGGGGCTGGGGAGCAAGGCGAAGCCAGCCACTGCTGAATTGCTGCCTGTGGAGCCCCGAGCGTCAGCATGACTGGTGTGGACATGTGTCACCAGCCCTCCAAGGGACTCTGCTGAGTAAGTGGCAGAGCCAAGGCTGGAGTCAACATCAAGTTGGCCTCGATGCCACCTCTACCTATATATCCACGGTGCCTCCACACGAGGCAAGGGCACGCATAGGGGGTTGCTCACCCCGCCCCCCTTCCAGGACTGGAGAAATAACTGTTCTGCCAGGCACTCTGATCTCAGGCTGCCAGATAAAACACAGTATAAAATAATCTTTTTTTTTTTTTTTTTTTTTTTTTTTTTTGCGGCGGAGTCTGGCTCTGTCACCCAGGCTGGAGTGCGGTGACATGATCTCGGTTCACTGCAACCTGAGCCTTCTGGATTCAAGCAATTCTTTTGCCTCAGCCTCCTGACTAGCTGGGACTACAGGCATGAGCCACCATGCCTGGCTAATTTTTAGTAGAAACAGGGTTTCACCATGTTAGCCAGGCTGGTCTTGAACTCCTGACCTCAAGCAGTCCACCTGCCTCAGCCTCTCAATGTACAAAATAATATTTTAAAGTGCTATCTGAAATTCAGAGCCTCCTGTATTTCTGTTTGCTAAATCCAGTAACTTTCTTCTTGCCCTAAGAAAACCATGCAAGTGTGAGCTCCCTGGTTACCTGCATGGGGAGGGGTACCCCTGAACCTGTGACCCCACTCCACATAGGTAACCACCCACCCTGCAACCTTCTGGGTTTGGTCTTAGAATGCAACCCAGCCCAGGCCGGGCGCGGTGGCTCAAGCCTGTAATCCCAGCACTTTGGGAGGCCGAGACGGGCGGATCACGAGGTCAGGAGATCGAGACCATCCTGGCTAACACGGTGAAACCCCGTCTCTACTAAAAAATACAAAAAAACTAGACGGGCGAGGTGGCGGGCGCCTGTAGTCCCAGCTACTCAGGAGGCTGAGGCAGGAGAATGGTCTAAACCCGGGAGGCGGAGCTTGCAGTGAGCTGAGATCCGGCCACTGCACCCCAGCCTGGGCGACAGAGCAAGACTCTGTCTCAAAAAAAAAAAAAAAAAAAGAATGCAACCCAGCCCAAAATCTGGCCAAAACCCTAACGATGCCTCAGGCTTATCCAATAACCAGGATGAAGGCCTCGAGTGCCCTGCACAGCAGGTCCAGGAAGTGACCCAGAGCTCCCTCCCGCTTTGTCCCCTCCCTTCCATGGCTGTTCTCTCTGCGGGCAGGAAGGAAGATGTGGTTCTTACGGTTGTCGTCGTTGACCAGGCCATAGCAGACCTCGTAGGCTGTGATCTCACCGTTGGTCTCAGCCGGCTCGGCCCAGCTCAGCTGGGTCACCGTGGAGGAGACGACATTGAAGGCCAGACGCCCTGGCTCGCTGGGCACTAGGGAGCGGGGGATACAGGAAGAGTGCTGTCAGTGGCAGAGGGGAGGGCTGGGCACACTGGCATCAGGGCAGCCAGGGGACAAATGGACAGACATGGCGAGGCCTCACCTTCCTGGTGGGTGCGGCAGGACACTAGGGAGCTGTAGGGTCCCTCGCCCTGAGCCCCGTAGGCGCACACCTTCATCTCATAGTCGCAATACGGGTACAGGTTGGTGAGCTCCACTGAGGGCACCTTGCTGTCGAGCAGGTGGGCTTCGGACTCAGAGTCACCCTGAATCCAGTACTTTACCTGCCCCCAGGGACAGGGGTCCTGGTCAGCAGGGAGCAGCAAGCACCCAAGCTGCCTGTCCCTCTGCTGACCTCTGCCCTTACTGTTCTCTTTGCACAGATGAGAGACACTAAGGCCTGAGGGAGGGGCTGAAAGATCTGCCATGGGCACACATCGGGACTGGGGCAGAGCAGGTGGGGGTGTCTCCCATGCGGGGGTGGGAGGGGGCCCCATTTTAGGAAGGAGGACAAATGTCTAATAAGCTCGGGAATGGGTCTTCCCTCTTCCCCAGCACAGACCGGGTTTCCCTCTGACCACCTGTGCTAGGTTCCACTGTCTGCTCTCTCTCAGCGGGCCCTGGCCTCAAACGGCCCACCTCTTCCGTGAGGGCTGGTACCAGACCGCCCATCCACCTGCCGTGGCCCTCAGCCCCCCGCCTTACCCTGTACCCCATTGGCTTGCCAGAAGGGGGCAGCCAGTTGAAATGGATCTTCCTGGACCCAGCGGCCTTAGCATTGGGGTTCTGCGGGGCGCCCAGGTCACCGTGAGAGGGTGGCTGTGATGACACCATCTGACTCGTGAGGCTCCGGTCCAGCTCATCTAATGGGTCAAGCCGGGGCAGGGCAACCATTCAGATCCTGCTTCGCCACCAGGGGGCGACAGAGACCCACTTAAACACCCAGGGCGCTCTGCCCCGCGCATTCAACTCAGACCTGCCCACCCGCGTCTCCGGACACCTGGTGCCCCATTGCTGCCACATAGAGCATCCTGCCAAGCTTGGCGGAGGACCCAGGAGAGTCACTGGAGGAACAGAAGGAGGAGGGAGTTGGTCTGCCCCTTTCTCCCTTGGCAGCTCAGGGAACATTCCACATGAGAACATTTGCTCCCCGCCCCATCTCCACACCATACCCTGAGTATCTCACTCCTCTCTCATCTTCCTGGCAGGCCTTCTCCCAGTGGGGAGGCTGAGGGCTGAGAGGAACTAACTGGCCCACCTCTTCCAGAAGCACCTGCATGTTAGTTGGAACTGAGGCTGAAGCCAAAGGGCCAGGGTCTGATGGGAGAATTCCTATTGCGTGGTGACAACATGACCTCAGCCTCTCTGGCTGTTGGGTTGCTGGATAAAATGCAGATGCCTAGTTACATTTGAATTTCAGATAAACAACAGCCTTTTCTTTTGTTGTTGAGGGGCAGGGTCTCATTCCATGGCCCAGGCGCTGTGCAGTGGTGTGATCACAGCTTGCTGCGGCCCAGACCCCCTGGGCTCAAGTGATCCTCCCACCTCAGTCTCCGGAGTGGCTGGGACTCTAGGTGCACACCACTACGCCAAGCTAATTTGTTTATTTTTTGTAGAGACAAGGTCTCACTATGTTGCCCAGGCTGGTCTAGAACTCCTGGGCTCAAGTGATCCTCCCACTGCAGCCTCCCAAAGTGCTGGGATTACAGGCATGAGCCAGTACACCCAGCCCATTTTGCAAAAATAGGATAAGTACGTTCCAAATATTGCATGGAACATACTTACCCTACCAACGTGTATGTTGTTATCTGAAATTCAGATTTACCCAGGAGTCCTGTGTTTGGATTTGCTAAATCTGGCAGACCTAGTTGAGAGACCCCCAGTCTTCCCTCTCCCCCTGCTTAAGCCAACCCCCAGGCTCTGCCTACCTGGGTCCCTGATGATGATGGTGGTGGAGTGGGGCTGGCCCAGGTGGGCCCCAAACTTAGGGTTGCTGAGCTGTACGTGGAAACGGCGGATCTGGCGGCCCCGCAGAAGGGAGTCGACCTCTTCCAGCTCCAGGAGCTTCACCTGCAGCTCTTTCCAGGCCTCTCCAGGCTGGAACAGCAGCTCACCCTCCACAGGGATGTAGTCCTGGGAGTGGAGGGGTCAGGGTCAGGGTCGTGGCCGGGGGCTGAGGCAAGAGTCACGGCCACATGCTCCCTCCCAACCTCATGGATACCACAGAGATCATCCCTGCTTGCTGGGTGGAGTACTTATATCAGCTTCAGGTTTTTGTGGTTTTTTTTTTTTTTTTTGAGGTGTAATCTCACTCTTTCGCCTAGGCTGGAGTGCAGTGGCGTGATCTCGGTTCACTGCAACCTCCACCTTCCGGGTTCAAATGATTCTCACACCTCAGTTTCCCGAATAGTTGGGATTACAGGCACCTGCCACCACGCCCGGCTAATTTTTGTCTTTTTAGTAGAGATGGGGTTTCACCATGTTGGCCAGGCTGGTCTCGAACTCCTGACTTCAAGTGATCCTCCCAACTTGGCCTCCCAAAATGCTGGGATTACAGACGTGAGCCACCATGTCCAGCCATGTTTTTGTGTTTTTTTTTTTTTTTTTTTTTTTTTGAGATAGGGTCTCACTCTTGTCACCCAGGCTGGAGTGCAGGGGCACAATCACGGCTCACTGAAGCCTTGACCTCCTGGGCTCAGCCCATCCTTTCCCTCAGCCTCCTAAGTAGTGGGACTACAGGTGTGCACCACACCTAGCTAATTTTTTCTTTTTTTGTAGAGGCACGGTTGCCCTATGTTGCCTAGGCTGGTCTTGAACTCCCGGCCTCAAGCGATCCACCCACCTTGGCCTCCCAAAGGGCTGGGATTACAGACGTGAGCCACCCAGCTTCCTTTCAATGCAGTGGAGCTTGCCTGAGCTTTCCAGAATAAAAGAACTGGGAGGAAAAAAAAGAAAATCCTTCACATAGAAGACCACTAGGTGGCACTTCAGGGCAAGATTTCAATTCCAGGCTCAGCAGCCAGGGCCATGGCTGGGGAGGCAACCTCATGCCACCCAACTCAGAAAGTGAGGCCCATAGTTGTAAAACAAAAACAAAAACAAAACAAAACAACAACAACAAAAAAAACCAGGGAGCTGCCTGCAAGCAACCTACATAGATATTTCAAAAATGTCAGTGTCAGTGTCATTAGCCCAGCATGGTGGCAGGTGCCTGTAATCGCAGGTACTTGGAAGGCTAAGGCAGGAGAAATGCTTGAACCCGGGAGGTGGAGGTTGCAGTAAGGCATTGCACTCCAGCCTGGGCAACAGAGCAAGACCTTGTCTTAATAAAAGTCAGCGCCACGGAAGACAAAGCCAGGAAGCTTTTCTAGATAAAAGGAGTCAGGACCCGTGAAAAAATTCAATGCCGAATCCTTGATTGGTTCCTGCATTGGGAGGAAAAAAGCTATAAAGGACATTATTGGGACATCCAAACAAGGGGACATCGGAATATGGACCAATTTTATTTTATTTTATTTTATTTTTTTTTTTTTGAGACGGAGTCTCGCTCTGTCGCCCAGGCTAGAGTGCAGTGGCGCGATCTCGGCTCACTGCAAGCTCCGCCTCCCGGGTTCACGCCATTCTCCTGCCTCAGCCTCCCGAGTAGCTGGGACTACAGGCGCCCACAACTGCGCCCGGCTAATTTTTTGTATTTTTAGTAGAGACGGGGTTTCACCGTGGTCTCGATCTCCTGACCTTGTGATCCGCCCGCCTCGGCCTCCCAAAGTGCTGGGATTACAGGTGTGAGCCACCGCGCCCGGCCTTATTTTATTTTATATATATTTTTTGGAATAGAGTTTTGCTCTTTTGCCCAGACTGGAGTGAAGTGGTGCAATCTCAGCTCAGTGCAACCTCCACCCACTGGGTTCAAATGATTCTCCTGCCTCAGCCTAGCTAGTAGCTGGGATTGTAGGCACCCGCCACCATGCCCGGCTAATTTTTGTATTTTTCGTAGAGACGAGGTTTCTCCATGTTGGTCAGACTGGTGTCAAACTCCTGACCTCAGGTGATCCACCTGCCTCGGCTTCCCAAAGTACTGGGATTAAGGTGTGAGTCACTGGTGATGCCCAGCCGGAATATGGACTAATTTTAGGTACTAGTATAATCAATGTGAAGATACAGATGTCCACATCTGTATCTCTATTTCTGTGTTGCTATCTATATAGAAAGAGAGAGAAAGCAAATATTAGCAATTGGTGAATCTATGTAAAGGGTAAATGGGTGCTAGTTTTATTGTTCCTTCCATTTTTCTGTATGTTTGAAGTTTTTCAAAAATAAGATGAGAAATTAAAATGTTTTTAAAAATAAATATCAAAGCCTTTTTTTTTTTTTTTTTTTTTTTGAGACAGGTGTCTTACTCTGTCACCCAGGCTGGAGTGCAGTGGCACTATCTCGGCTCACTGCAACCTCCACCTACTGGGCTCCACCTCAGCCTCCCAAGTAGCTGGGACCACAGGTGCACACCACCATACCCAGATCATTTTCTGTATATTCGGTACAGACAGGGTTTTGCCATGTTGGCCAGGCTGGTCTCAACCTCCTGATCTCAAGCGATCCGCCCACCCTGGCCTCCCAAAGTGCTGGGATTACAGGCATGAGCCACTGCACCCAGCCTCAAAGCATCTTTATACAAGTGTAACAGGATAGCCAGAAGGCAAGGCAAAAGGATCATGTTATCCCAGGAGTTCGAGAGCAGCCTGGGCAACATGGCGAAAACCTATCTCTACTAAAAACACAAAATGGCCGGGCGCGGGGGCTCACGCTGTAATCCCAGCACTTTGGGAGACCGAGGTGGGTGGATCACGAGGTCAGGAGTTCGAGACCAGCCTGACCAACATGGTGAAACCCCATCTCTACTAAAAATATGAAAATTAGCTGGGCGTGGTGGTGCGCACCTGTAGTCCCAGTTACTTGGGAGCCTGAGGCAGGAGAATCACTTGAACCCTGGAGGTGGAGGTTGCAGTGAGCTGAGATCATGCCAGCCTGGGCAACAGAGCGAGACTCTGTCTCAAAGAAAAAAAAAAAAAAAAATTAGCCAGTGTGGTGGTGGACATCTGTAGTCACAGCTACTTGGGAGGCTGAGGTTGAAGGATTGCTTGAGTCCAGGAGTTTAAGATTGTAGAGAGCTAGGACTATGCCACTGTACTCCACCCTGGGCTAGAGGGAGACCTTGTCTCTTAAAAAAAAAAAAAATTCTTCTTTGGAATTTTTATGGGGGACATTGGAAAAATAATGAGAACAGTTCCTATCAATAAAAAGAAGTAAATAAAAATAGGATGTGGCCAGGCAGCCTGGGCCTGCTGACTACACGCTCCCCTATGTTTGCCAAACGGGCCTCTGGGCCCAGGGAGGTGAGACTTTATTACTTTTGAGATAATTTTTTTTTTCTTTTTTTGAGATGGAGTCTCGCTCTGTCGCTCAGGCTGGAGTGCAGTGGTGTGATCTCAGTTCACTGCAGCCACCACCTCCTGGTTTCCAGCAATTCTCCTGCCTCGGCCTCCCGGGTAGCTGAGATTAGAGGCATGTGTCACCGTGCCTGGCTAATTTTTGTATTTTTAGTAGAGAAATGTTTTCACCATGTTGGCCAGGCTGGTCTCGAACTCGTGACCTCAGGAGATCCACCTGCCTTGGCCTCCCACAATACTAAGATTACCGGCAGACGCCACCTCGCCTGGCCTTTTTTTTTTTTTCAGTAGAGACAGGGTCTCACTATGTTGCCCAAACTGGCCTCCAAATCCTGGGCTCAAGGGATCCTCCCACTGTGGTCTCCCACAGCGTTGGGATTACGTGCATGAGCTACTGCACTGAACCAGGTTTTGTTTCTTTGTTTTTTTGTTTGATTTTTTTTTTTAATTAATTTTTTTTTTAAAGAGAGTCTTACTCTGTTGCCCAGGCTGAAGTGCAGTAGCATGAACATGGCTCACTGCAGCCTAAACCTCCTGGCCTCAAGTGATCCTCCTGCCTCAGCCTCCCAAGTGGCTGGGTCCACAAGTATGCACTACTGTGCCCAGCTCATGTTTACATTATATGTGTAGACAGGGTCTCGAACACCTGGGTTCAAGTGATTCTCCCACCTTAGCCTCCCAAAGTGCTGGGATTACAGGTGTGAGCCACCATGCCTGGCCTTTGTTTTTAATTATGGATTTGTTGCCAACATTTAAAAACTAGAAAAGCCAGGTGCACTGGCTCACACCTGTAATCCCTGCACTTTGGGAAGCCAAGGTGGGCGGATCACTTGAGATCAGGAGTTTAAGACCAGCCTGCCCAACATGGCAAAACTCCATCTCTACTAAAGATACAAAAACTAGGCCAGGCATGGTGGCTCACTCCTGTAATCCCAGCACTTTGGGAGGCCGAGGTGGGTCGATCACTTGAGGTCAGGAGTTCAAGACCAGCCTGGGCAACATAACAAGACCCTGACTCCCCAAAAAAATAAGCAGCAAAAAACCCCACACGAAACAAACAAAAGAAACAAAACTATGAAGCCTAAAACCCAGTCCAGCCTGTGTGCACCTGGATTTGGCTGTACCCCAGCACTGGGGCTCAGCAGTGAAGGTGATGCTGGCCCAGCCACGGCACTCCCTGCCTTGAATGGTTGCTCCTGCTGCTTGGCCCAGGGGAGGGCAAATCGTTACAGCCCTTGAGGAGTCTGGCCCGGGGACACGGGGTCTTTGATCCCAGCTCAAGAAGCCCAAAGCCCCCAGGACTGGGGCATATAGCGGGAGTTTATCTCCAAGAGGTTTGGCTGCCCTGTGGATCCTGGGTTGCAGGAGGGGACAGGAATGGTCTGTGCAGGTCCCTGGTCCATGAAGGAAAGAGCCCTCTTGGCCTGAGTCCCTGGCAGCAATGGAGCCTCACCCAGGGTGTCACTGGCACCCTGGGCAGGTGAGACTCCCCTACCACAGGGTGGCAGGAGCAGGTGAACATATCCTTGGGAGGCCAGCCAGGGGCATGGCCAGCATCCAGGGACTCAAGCAGCTGCCATGTACTGCTTTGTCCTGGGAACCCAATGCAGTGCCCCCCCAGGCTGCACCCTCGACCCCATGGCGGAGCCTCACCCGGTTGCCCTGTGCAGTGCCATCCTGCGTGCGGTAGGAGACCTGAGACTTCCCGCCGTCCAGGACGCGCCGGATGACAGGGATGCGAGCCACCTGGTCCCCACGGCTGACCGAGTACTCAGGCTGCTCAAAGGACACCACATCTCTGGCTGTAAGGAGCCCGGGCACTGGTCAGAGCTGGGCCCAGTCCCTTCTCACCTTCTGCTCTCCTGCAGCCCGGCCCAGCCCAGCCCAGAATCCATGAGTCCACTTGTTTCCCTCCATGCACTGCCCTCTGGGAAAAGCACAGGAGCGAAACGGAAAATCCTTCCAGAAAAATGTGAGGGACTGGGTGCAGTGGCTTGCGCCTGTAATCCCAGCACTTTAGGAGGCCGAGGCAGGTGGATAACCTGAGGTCAGGAGTTCGAGACCAGTCTGGCCAACATGGCGAAACCCCATGTCTACTAAAGATAGAAAAATTAGCCGGGCATGGTGGCCAGCGCCTGTAATCCCAGCTACTCGGGAGGCTGAGGCAGGAGAATCACTTCAACCTGGGAGGCAGCTGTTGCAGTGAGCCGAGATGGCGCCATTGCACTCCAGCCTGGGTGGCAGAGCGAGACTCCATCTCAAGAAACAAAAAAAAGTGGGTCTGGAACAAAGTGTCCAGCAGACATCCTGGAAGGGCCAGGCAGAGGAGGGAGGCCAGGCACAGGCAGGACCAGAGACGGAGCCCTCAGCCCCAGGGCTGGAGCAGAGCAGGAACAGGCCTGAGGCCCGTGGCTTCCGGCACAGGTGGCAGGAGGGGTCAGATGTCCACGGTGCCATGCCTTGGCCAACCCCTCCTCTAGATAGAGAGGAGCAAGGGGCTGGCCCTTATGAGGATGCAACAGAAGCTTCCATTTACTGAGCGCTCACCACCAGGCACTTTGGCGAGGTGAACAGCCCCGTATTCCATAAAAGAGCTCTTACCCATTTTACAGATGGAGAAACCAAGGCTTGCAGAGGTTAAGTGACTAGCGTTGCCAGGTCCCAATTCCACTTACGCAGGAGGAACCAGTGCCCCTGAGCCCCCGTCTGCCTCCCTCACTCTCCCCACCCTGACCCACCTTGCTCCTTGATGATGGTGATGTTTACCAGGCGGCGGCCAAGGGTGGCAGTGCCCGCAGGTACATCGATGGCCTCCACCAGCAGCTGCTTCTCCTCGTCGTCCTCAGGCCGGATAAAGAGGGGCACCCGTACGTCCACCAGCTCCACACCCTCCTGGAACTCCACCATGCCCCGGGCGTCTGGGTGGGTTGGGAGGTGGTCAGAGTGGGTCACGGGGCCACATGGGCAGGAGATGCGAGGCAGTGGCACAGGGGACCCGCCCTCCTACCCTGGTCTGCAGTGAGGGTGTAGTAGCCGGGGGCCACCTTGAGGTCATGAAAGGCCCTCTGTTCCACCTGCTTCTCTGTAAGCTTCAGCAGGGCTGGCTTGGCCGAGCGGGGCGCCATCAGCACTGTGTCCACAATGGTGTGGTCTTGCCTGGGTTGAGGGTGGAGGGTTCAGGCAGGGGAGGGGTCAGGCTGGCACCTGCTGCCCTGTCCCTCCTGCCTGTCCTCTCCCCTTCAGGGGCCAGGATGTAAGACAGCAAGAAGTGCAGGGTCTTCAGAGGCAGGCAGTGCTCCAGGCCCATGCCAGCCCTATGCCCTTTACCCTGCAGCCTCAGCCCAGCCATGGCACCTCCTTGTCCTCAGCATCCTCCTCTGTGAAATGGGCTTCTCTGCCCACCTCATCAAGGGCTGGACTGCAAAGATGCTAAGGGTGTGAGTGCTCAAGCCAGGCTGCTGCAGCCCCAGCCCTGGCTCTAGTTCTTGATAGCTGGATAACCTTGGGCAAGTCACTTAACCCTTTTGAGCCTCAGCTTCCTCATCGGCAAAATGGGAACAGCAGTGATATCTACCTCACAGGCTTGATGAGCGGGTTGGATAAGATAACCACAAGATAACCACACACGGAAAGCCCTTAGGACCATGCTTGGCCGGTAGCAGGATCAGAAATGCTGGTCAGCCATTCTTTTTTTTTTTTTTTTCCCGAGATAGTCTCGCTCTGTCGCCCAGGCTGGAGTGCAGTGGTGTAATCTCAGCTCACTGCAACCTCTGCCTCCCAGGTTCAAGCGATTCTCCTGCCTCAGCCTCCCGAGTAGCTGGGATTACAGGCGCCCGCCACCTCGCCCAGCTAATTTTTGTATTTTTAGTAGAGATAGTGTATTCACCATGTTGGCCTGGCTGGTCTTGAACTCCTGACCTGAGGTGATCCACCCGCCTCAGCCTCCCAAAATGCTGGGATTACAGGTGTAAGGCACACACCCAGCTAATGGTTCTTACTGATGGCCGTGTGCTGCGATTCTAGCTCTGCTGTCCCTGCATTGAGACCCCCTCCTCACTCCCTGTCTCTCCCCGTGAAGGGCCAGGACTCGGAGTAGGACCTGGGGAAAAAGGTGTGTAACCTGCCTGGCCTCCAGAGGTGCACCCAGGATCCAGGTCTTGGACCTTGGAGCGGATGGAGATGGGTACCTGCTATCGCTAGTACTGGGTGGGGGGCTGGATGGTCACCTGTATGAGGGCAGGGACTGGGTTGATTTGCTTTTGCCTGCTCTAGTCCAGGGGCCACTTCATAGCAAGCACTTCACGTTAGCATTTGTTGAAGAAATGGTCAAAGGAACGAATGAAGGTCCAAACCCGACGGACACATCTGGCCCTCCCTTCCTATGGGATGGAGATGGAGCAGGGACGGACGAGGCAGATGGCTGGGCTGGGGACAGGTGGGCAGGAAGTGGGGGCTGTCTCACCCACCAGTCTTCTACTCACTTTTTCCCAGCATTGGGCTGCTGCCTGTGGGGACAAAGAGGGTGCTGTGAGCCAGAGAGCCCTGAAGTGGAGGCCTGATCTGCCTGGAGGCTTCAGCTCCTGGAGTCGGCGGTAGGAGTGGCTCCCCCACCCAACCCGGGCACCCTAGGACTCACCGGAACTTGGTCTGCTGGAGCTTGTGTACACCGGAGATCTGCCTGTAGACTTCGTTCAGCTGCCAGGCAAGGGAGGGGTGTGAGGCTGGGCCTAGGCCACCCCATGGTAAGCCCTCAGGCTGAGGACCCAGGCAGCCTCTGTACCCAGAGGCCCTCAGGGTTGGCTGGGGCCTGAGGTTGGCTGATGCCCCGTGGGGCCGCATCCTGGGCCCAGGCTCTGGCCTCCTGCCCTCTGGAAACAGATACCAGGATGGCCCTGCCAGGCACAGATCCAGAGAGGCCCCTCTCCCCTAGTGAACGAATCTTGGTGCCACGACTGTGTTTGCTCTGCCCTGCCCACCCCACCCACCCTCATACCCACATCTCTGGCCAGGCCTAGCTCCTGGGTCCTTACGTTCTCCTCCACCTCCTGGCGCAGCTGGGCACACTCCCGAGTGTCAGGCTTTAGCAGGTTCTCGGTGCAAAGGCGGGCCAGGCGCAAGGACAGCCCGTAGGGCACTAGGGAAAGGCGGTGGGAGGGGGTGAGATGGATGTGGTCAGCTCCCTGCATGACGGGCACCACAGAGCATCCCTCCAGCAACCATGCTAGGATCCGGGGATGCCCGGCCACTAGGCCATGCACACTGAGGCATGAGGTTCATAGCACCATCAGGATAGGGCAAAAGGTGACTGAGCCCTGTCCCTGCACCCCACACCCAGAGAAGAGGCGTGCTGTGATCCCAGATCTGGAACAGAGGGCCCGAAGAGCACTGCCCAGAGCTGTGGCACCCAGCCCTGCCCTCACCCAGTTCTGTGGGGTTGATGCTGGCGGCATGAGTGGCAAAGCCAGGCCGCTGCACGTTGTTGGTGACCTTCCAGCGGACCACGTCACGGCCCTTGAGGTTCCCGCTGCGCAGCATGGGCGTGTCCAGGTGGTCTGAGGCCATCAGGTTCTCCCGCAGCATGTAGTGGTCTTCCTTAAAGCCCACCATGTGACCTGCAGGATGGGGTCCTCAGCACGGCACCCCTCCCTAGACCCGCACAGCCCAACCTCATCAGATGGGACCCCACAGCCTCCAGCCTCTGCCGTTCCAGGTTCAGCTTCCCTCCATCCCAGCTCAGAGAAAGAGAGCAGTCAGAGCCCATGCTGCCCCTGCGATGCCAGGCCCATACCTCGGTTGCAGCAAGGGAGAAGTGCCAGGCAGGCCTAGGAGACAAGGTGGGTGAGGGTGAGGCCTGAGACAACTGCCCTGGCCCAGGTAAGCCCTTCCAGCCACCCTGCCCCATGCCAATGGTCCAGAGGGGTGACAGGGCCTCCCCAGACACCAGAATATCCAGGTGTTGGCAGGGTGTAAGCATGGCACACAAGGGCATAGAGGGGGATGGGGGCAGAGGGCTCCCAAAGTTTGTGCTGTGGAACCCTCATCCTGCCAGGTGCCCTGTAAAGGTTCTGTGGTCAGATTCACTTGGGAAGCACTGAATTCATTCCCCATGCCCCTCCTGCAGGTTCATTAGGCACAGGACTATATCAAAGCCTCTGAGAAGTCCTGCAGAGAAGAAACTTGTTTCTTTTCTTTTTTTTTTTTGAGACGATGTCTCACTCTGTTGCCCAGTCTGGAATGCAGTGATGCGATCTTGGCTTACTGCAACCTCTGCCTCCCAGGTTCAAGCAATTCTTCTGACTCAGCACCCCCAGTAACTGGGATTACAGGCGCCCGCCTCCATGCCCAGCTAATTTTGTATTTCTTTTTTTTTTTTTTTTTGAGACAGAGTCTCACTCTGTTGCCAGGCTGGAGTGTAGTGACGCGGTCTTGGCTCACTGCAACCTCCGCCTCCTGGGTTCAAGTGATTCTCCTGCTTCAGCCTCCCAAGTAGCTGGGATTACAGGCACACGCCACCATGCCCGGCTAATTTTTGTATTTTTGGTAGAGATGGGGTTTCACCATGTTGGCCAGGCTGGTCTTGAACTCCTGACCTCAAGTGATCCACCCACCTTGGCCTCCCAAAGTGCTGGGATTACAGGTGTGAGCCACTGTAACTTAAATAAGTTTAAGAAACTTGTTTCTCAAACCCCATGCTACAGGTTTAAGAAACTTGTTTCTTAAATCTTTTTTTTTTTTCTTTTTGAGACAGAGTCTTACTGTGTCACCCAGGCTGGAGTGCAGTGGCATAATCATAGCCTCAAACTCCCAGACTCAAGCGATCCTCCTACCTCAGCTTTCCAAGTAGCTGGGACTACAGGCATGCGCAACTGTGCCTGGCTCAAACCTATTTGATCACATAACTCCTTTCCTATGTAATGCACACTAATATCCCACAATACTGGTGGTTACTACGGAGTGTGGTCTGCTGCCTACAGTCCCCACTCGGCCATGCCATCCTCCACACTTTCCTCTCTCTTATCTGTTCTCCCCAAGGACCACCAGCTCCTGGCGGGCAGGGCCCTCCCTTCCCTGTTGTGGCTCCCAGGCCCTTCGCACGTGGCTGACCCCAGAACAGGTGCTCTCAGGGATCTGCCCATTGATGACTGATGGAGTGGGGGTCCTGGGCAGGCGCTAGAGCTGGGGAAGATGTGGGCTCAGCTTGCCTCAGCCCCTTCTGAGGACTGTGCATTTATCACCTGCCTCTCAGCCCCAATTTCTCCATCTGTCATAGGGCATAGTGACCTTACCCCATTGGCCTCATGGGGTGATGGGGGCGGAGAAATGGAGTCACATGGACATCCTGTGGCGACAGCACAAAGAAGAACGCTGAGCTAAGCAGAGAGCGGACACTGGCAAGGGCTGAGCTGGGGGCTGGGGCTCCAGGATGACTCGGGCTAGGAGCTCATAGGCGTCACCATCATGACTGTCACTTGGGAAGCTGGATGGGGTTGGTGTGGGTCTTTCCAAGCAGGGCGGGGGCGATGGTACATGCTACAGGTCAGTCCCTTCTGAACTTCACTAATTTAAGCTTCAGCTCCATTTTCTGAGGTCAATTCTATGACCTTCATTTTACAGACGAGGGAACTGAGGCATGGAGAGATTAAGTAATTTGCCCAAGGTCACACAGCTGGGACCAGAATCCAGACAGCTGGGCTCCACGGGCTGAAGGCTCTGGCTAGAAAGCTGCAGGAGTGGGGATGGTGGTGGGCTGTTGGGGGAACCACAGGGAGGCCGGGGACCCTGAGGGGGGTTGGGGACCTTGATGGAGGGTGGGGACCCTGTCAGGGAGGGGACCCTGGTGAGGTGGGGACCCAGGATGGGGTTGCGGATCCTGGTGAGGTGGGGACCCAGGATGGGGTTGGGGACCCTGGGGAAGTGGGGACTGTGGTGGAGCATGGGGCCCCTGTTGGGGTGGGGACTCTGGGGAGGTGGAGACCCAGGAGGGGGTTGGGGACCCTGGTGGAGGGTGGGGGCCCTCTTGGGGTGGGGATCCTGGGGAGATGCGGACCCAGGCGGGGGCTGGGGACCCTGGTGGAGGGTGGGGGCCCTGTTGGGTGGGGACCCTGGGGAGATGCGGACCCAGGCGGGGGCTGGGGACCCTGGTGGAGGGTGGGGGCCCTGTTGGGGTGGGGACCCTGGGGAGATGAGGCCCTGGGAGGGGCCCGGGCTCTTACCTTGCAGCAGGCGCAGTACTTCCAGCAGAGCAGCAGCAGCAGGGCCAGGAGCGGCAGGAGGAGGAGGAGCAGGGGGATGAGCCACCAGAAGGAGCTGGGAGGGCAGTCTGGAGAGAAGAGGCAGCGGGAGGTGGTGCCTGTCCTCCCCGCCAAGCTCTGACAACATGCCCCTCCCTGCAGCCGGCCCCACCAGCTCACCCTTCTTCTTGTGCACCAGGACGGTGCTGTTGGGCCCAGGGGCGCCGTCGCCTTCCATGGTGTAGCTGTAGGTGCAGTCATCGTCCTCGTCCCGGAAGGAGCAGCGCACCACCACCTCCTCGGCTGTACCCACAGCCGGTCAGCAGGGCACCCCAGTCACACCCCTCCGCCCCAGAGGACCCCAGGGTCTGGTGAGGGGGCCCCTACGCTGGGACCTGCCTCACCCACAGCAGGGCCTCCTGGGGAAGAGTGGAAGTCCTTGCAAAGCCGTGCTCTCACCTGGCACAGGGACGGGTGGGGGCAGGGGCTCCCCTGATCAGGAGCATCAGAGTCTAGAAACCGACCTCCCCCACTTCCCTGACCTGGACGTCACCCAGAAGCTCAGTGTCCAGAAAACATATCTGACCTCGAGGAGGGGAGGCTGCGTGTCTCCAAAGCGTGACCATGTACCCCTGCTGTGTGCATGCCCCTGCCCAAGTCAGGTGCCCCCCACCATGACTCTTGGTACCTTCCTGGGCCAGACTGTGTCCCATCGCCTGGGTTCTGTGCCTCCTGCTCAGGCTTTTACCCTTTTCTGGGACTCGGTGTCCTCTATCTGGGTTCTGTGGTCCCTCCCAGCTCTGGAGTTCCTGTCCGGACTGTGTGGCCTTAGCCCAGACTGCAAACCCCTGTCCAGGTGATGACATCCTTGCCCCGTTGGATGCCCCCTGCCTAGGCTCTCAGCACCTCCAACCCTCAGCCCCTGCCCCTACCTCTCTTAAGCTCGTCCACCATCTTGACCTTGAAGTTGCATTCCTCACACGTGCGCCCCTTCTTCTCCCCGGTGCCCCATGCCTGGCACTGCACGCAGGAGCGTAGGTCCTCGCAGAGGCCCGGGTGGATCTTGGCGGGGAAAGGCAGGGCAGATAGGCACTGTGTTGGGTGGGCTTCTGCCAGATCCCCGCTGCTCCCCAAACCTCTTGCCCTTGGCCAGCTCCTGTGGCATCAGGCTTAGCCCCTCCTGCCCACCCTCGCCTGTGCCTTGGGTTCCCACGCCCACACCCCGTAGGTCCTGGCCTCACCGCTGAGTAGTTGATCTCGCAGATGGTGTCCGTGTAAAGCGACTGCTGGTGGCAGTGGCAGCGGCCACACTCACAGTGGCCACGTCCATTACAGATGCCCTGGGGTAGAAGGGGGCACCAGTGAGCCAGCTGTGCCCCATCCCTGCCTGTTCCCTCTCCTCTCTCCATAGGGTTCTCTCTGGAGAGGGTGGGTTGTCCTGACAGACACTGTCTTATGCCCAGGCCTACCCCATTGCTGTCGATGCAGGTGGCATTGCTGAGGGGACAGTCACAGCTTGGGCCTGTCCAACCAGGCTCACACACACACTGGCCCATGGAGCAGCGTCCTCGGTCTGCAGAGAGGGACAGGGAAGGGAGATGAGAGCTACATCTGCGCCTGTAGTCCAGGCTGCCCACCTGGCAAGGAGGACCTGTGGGAGCAGAACTGTGGGAGCTAGGATGCCACTACCCTGGGGTAGAAGTCATCTCTTCCTCACTTTCCTGGAATCTCCTTCCCTGGAGATTCTGCCTCCATCCTGCCTACCTTCCACTCTGCAGCCAGAGTAATCATCTCAAAACAAATCCAATCATGTGGCTCCTGCTCCCCTGACTGAGAACCTCTAATGGGTCCTGGCCAATGCAATAAGGTCAGAAAAAGAAATAAGATGTATAAGCTTTAGAAGGTGAGAAATAAGGCCAGGCAAGGCCGGGCACGGTGGCTCACACCTGTAATCCCAGCACTTTGGGAGGCCGAGGCGGGCAGATCATGAGGCCAGGAGATCGAGACCACCCTGGCTAACAGGGTGAAGCCCCGCCTCCACTAAAAAATACAAAAAAATTAGCCAGGCATGGTGGCGGGTGCCTATAGTCCCAGCTACTTGGTAGGCTGAGGTAGGAGAATGGTGTGCGTGAACCTGGGAGGCGGAGCTTGCAGTGAGCGGAGATTGTGCCACTGCACTCCAGCCTGGGCGACAGAGTGAGACTCCATCTCAAAAAAAAAAAAAAAGAAGACCAGGCAAGGTGGCTCACGCCTGTAATCCCAGCACTGGGAAGCTAAGGCAGGCGGATCACAAGGTCAAGAGACTGAGACCATCCTGGCCAACATGGAGGAACCTCATCTCTACTAAAAATACAAAAATTAGCTGGGCGTGGTGGCGCATGTCTGTAGTCCTGGCTACTCAGGAGGCTGAGGGAGGAGAATCGCTTGAACCCGGGAGGCGGAGGTTGCAGTGAGCCAAGACTGCACTCCAGCCTGGTGACAGAGCAAGATTCTGTCTCAAAAAAAAAAAAAAAAAAAGAGAAAAAGAAATAAAACTGTCAGCTGGGCGTGGTGGCTCAAGCCTGTAATCCCAGCACTTTGGGCGAATCATGAGGTCAGGAGATCGAGACCATCCTGGCTAACACAGTGAAACCCCGTCTCTACTAAAAAATATAAAAAAACTATCTGGGTGAGGTGGCGGGCGCCTGTAGTCCCAGCTACTCGGGAGGCTAAGGCAGGAGAATGGCATAAACCCGGGAGGCGGAGCTTGTAGTGAGCTGAGATCCGGCCACTGCACTCCAGCCTGGGTGATAGAGCGAGACTCCGTCTCAAAAAAAAAAAAAAAAAAAAAAAAAAAAAAGACCAGCCTGGCCAACATGGTGAAACCCTGTTTCCACTAAAAATACAAAAATTAGCTGGGTGTGGTGGCAGGCCCCTATAATCCCAGCTACTTGGGAGGCAGAGGCAGAAGAATTGCTTGAACCTGGGAGGCAGAGGTTGCAGTGAGCTGAGATCATGCCACTGCACTCCAGCCTGGGTGACAGAACAAGACTCCATCTCAAAAATAAATAAATAAATAAAATTGCCATTATTTGCAAGTATCAGGAACATGTCACAAAGTATGCAGAAGAATCTACAGATAAATTATTAGGTTCCATAAGTGTGTTTAGCAAGGTGGCTGGATACAAGGTTAATATACAAATAGTTAGAAAATGAAATTAAAACCTCCAGTGACTCCCTTTTGTCCAAAGGATGAAATCCTGCTCTGAACTAGAACTGAAGCCCTTTGTACTCTGGCCCTGCCTCCTTCCCCAGAGGCACCTTCCTCCCTTCTTCTCTCATACTTCCCTCTGTGCCACTTGTCTGCCTTTTTCCAGTGGTGCCCAGTTTTCTCTTCTGTTTCTCTGAGCACACTCAGGAACAGACAGTTGAAGAGAATAAAAGGTGAACAAAAGCAAGAACAGAAGAAAGAGTAGAAAAGCAGGGGCTTGGAAAGTATACAGTGAGGGCTTCATAAGTATTTGATGAGTAGATTTTCATTCATCCTCCTCCATTCAACTACCAATCCTTCCACATGCCGCCGTATCTGAGTTCTGTGACCCTGCCTAGATCTGATGTTCCTGGCCAGACTGTGTGCCTATGGCCTGGACCCATGGGAATACAGAGGAAGCTCCAGGCCCTCCAGCTAGAAATTTAGCATCTTTGGACTGGGTGCAGTGGCTCACGCCTGTAATCCCAGCACTTTGGGAGGCTGATGTGGGCAGATCACCTGAGGCCAGGAGTTCAAGACCAGCCTGGCCAACATGGTGAAACCCTGTCTCTACTAAAAATACAAAATTAGCTGGGCATGGTGGTGCATGCCTATAGTCCCAGCTACTAGGGAGGCTGAGGCAGGAGAATTGCCTGAACTGGGGAGGCGGAGGTTGCAGTGAGCCAAGATTGTACTATTGCACTCCAGTCTGGATGACAAGAGCAAAGCTCTGTCCCAAAACAACAACAACAACAACAACACACACACACACACACACACACACACACACACACACACACACAGAAATTTAGCATCTTTGGAGAGAGGAAAGATCATAATGCCATATATCTGCCAGCCATTGGAGGACTGAGCTGGGGGCACCCACTCTAATGAGCTAGGGGTGTGGAGAAGGGGGGTGGGCATAGAACTGAACTGCCAGAGAGAACCTCAGGGGAGTTGGACTCTTAAAACCAGGGGAAATTCCTGCCAGCAGTGGCCTTGGGCATGGACGTTGCAGATAAGGGAAGTGAAGCCCAGGTTGGGGCAGGACTCGGGGGCAGCCCTCAGGGCATCCAGAGTGGGCTGGGCCTGAACTTGGGGATTCTGATTCCAAGCCTGGCTCTCCCAACCCGGGTCATGACGGGAAGGTCATGCTCGCTGTCCACCACCTACCCCACCGTCAGCATTGGCCGCAGCTGTTGTGCTCACCATTGCAGAGGAACCCAGAAGTGCGGGGACACTGGAAGTTGTCATACTCGCAGAACTGACCCTCGTAGCGGCCTTCGCCGTAGCACACACAGTGCCCGCACTGGCACTCCCCACGGCCCGAGCATGGCTTGTCCTCACCCTCCCGCAGGCAGGGCTGAATGTCACTCAGAGAGCCGGTGGAGCAGTTGCAGGTCTGGCCACTCCTGAAGGAGGAACTGGTCACTTCCCCGAAACAGCCCAGAAGGAAAGCTGGGGCTTTTACTGTCCCATTTTATTTTATTTTATTTATTTATTTTTTATTTCGAGACAGAGTTTTGCTCTTCTCACCCAGGCTGGAGTGCAGTGGCATGATCTCAGCTCACTGCAACCTCTGCCTCCCGGGCTCAAGCAATTCTGCCTCAGCCTCCCAAGTAGCTGGGATTACAGGCATGCACCACCAAACCCAGCTAATTTTTTGTATTTTTAGTAGAAATGGGGTTTCACCATGTTGGCCAGGCTGGTCTTGAACTCCTGACCTCAGGTGATCCACCCACCTCGGCCTCCCAAAGTGCTGGGATTACAGGCGTGAGCCACCTTGCCTGGCCTGCTGTCCCATTTTACAGATGAGGAAGCTGAGGCAGCTCCTAGTCATGCAGACAGAAGTGGCTGAGCTGAGACCTAAACCCCAGTGCCCTGTCATGCCATCCCTTCCAGTGTCCTTTCCTCATTGCTCTGCCTCAAGTGGTGACAAGCTCGTCCAGTGTCGTGAAGCTAAAGTCCTTACTGCCATGTGTTTATGAGCTCTCTTCTGATCAGGCAATATGACACAGGACTCAGAATACCAAAGGCACGGAGCGAAAAGGAAGTCTCCCTCCTGTGCCTGTTCCCCAATATCCAGACTCCAGCCCCAGCAGCCACCCCCGTCTCAATCCTTGCATCTCTTTCTAGAGACAGCCCCATATATCTCTCTATTTGAAAGTGCTTTGAGCTGGGTTTGACCAACAACTGGGTGTGCCCCACCCTTAGCCATTTCTTTGATTGCCGCCCCACCCCCGGCCAGGTGTACAAGGTGCACCCAGGGTGAGGTCCCTGCAGGAGCCCAGCCTTCCCATCAGGGGCCACTGGTGTCCTCAATGCCCACCTCTCTTCCCCACTCACCAGCCCTCACTGCACACACACTGTCCACACATGAAGTCTCCATTGAAGTTGCAGCGAGCTGACCGCACCTCTTTTTGCTGGAATGAGAAAGACCGTGGTGGGGTGTGTTGGGGGCGCAGGACCGGGACCACTGGACACTTCTGCTGCCCTGTGTGCCTCAGGACATCCCACAAGGGAGATGGGGCACAGGAGTCCCGCTTCATTCCTCGGGCCCCCAGGGTGCTTGGCTCAGCTCTCCCCTCCCGCCCAGCGGGGCTGCGTCATACCAGCTCGCAGGGGCACACATCACAGATGATGCCCGCGTCCATCTTGAGGCCATCAGAGAAGGAAGGTTTCAGATGGATGTTGCCCTTCTGGTCCTCCTTCGGCAGCTGGCACACGTGCGTCCCATCCACGTGCTCGATGGCCCGCAGCTGCACCTGGTATATGCCCTGCAGGGGCCCCGTGGTCAGCCAAGGCAGGCCCAGCCCCAAGGACCAGAGGGCCACTGATGCCTGAAGGCCCTCGATCACCAAGTTCCTAGATGTCTGGATCCCTGATACGAGCTCCTGCTCACCTCCCTCAGGGCTGAAAACTCCCTCCTTCCCAGCCAGTCACAATCACAGCGACAATGACAGTGGCCAGGGCCTCTGGGCTTCGTGACACTAACCCATTTACTGCCCCAGCAAGCCTCGGGGCTCGACGCTCGCCTGCCGAGGAAGCCAACAAGCAGAGGAGCATGCCAGGCTCATCCAAGCGGCCAGGCCCAGGGATCTGCACCCAGGCCTGCCCGACTCCAGGGACCATGCTCTTGACTGCTGTTTTAGACGATTCCACTCCGTGCGGGGCGCTATGCCTGTCCCCCACCCCGCTACCCCCACGGAGGCGTACCACTTCCCCCCGCTGGATCTGAAAGGACCCAGTCTTCATCTTCTGGAACATCTTGGAGGTGACCTCTGTCCGAAAGCCTCGGGGGCTGTCTAGGGCCCGGATGTCCAGGTTGGAGCGGATTCGCTAAAGGAGGAAGGAGGTTGGTCAGTGCTCTGTGGGGGGCCTGGCTGTGCTCCACCCCAACCCCCAAGTGCGACTGGCATCATGTGGGGTGCTACAGAGCCTGCAGGAGCCAGGGCCAGGCCCAGGTGGCCCCTCAGGGCTTCAGGGATAACCAGAGACCCTCCCTCACTGGCCTGTCCCAGACCCCTTTTGCAACCATGACCCAAGACACCTCTTGCCCACCCTGTCCACCTCCTGCCCTGCCCCAGAAGGGCTCAGACTCTGGAGCCCGAGCTGCCCTCACATTGAAGGCCTCCTCCAGCAGCTCCACGATGTTGGACGAGTCCTCCTGCAGCACCCCCAGCGAGGAGACAGGGAAATAGGTGTGAAGCTTCTGTGGGAGAGAAGGCCAGGCTAAGCATCTCCATGAATCTGAATAGCTCTAGGATTCTTCGTACTTTGAGGATGGGGAAACTGAGGCCTAGAACCTGCTGTGGTGTTGCAGAGCCTGCCCTGTTAGCCCCCACCTGCCTGGGAGTTGGGGTGGAGGATGGACACATGACTTCCCCTTCCCACCAGGGCCCACTTTTGGTGGGGTCTAAAAGCTTTGGGAAAGGAGAAAGGAAAAAAGGGAGAGAGGGAGGAGGGGAGGGAGGAGGGGAGGGAGGAGGGGAGGGAGGGAGGAAGGGAGGGAGGAAGGGAGGGAGGGAGGGAGGGAGGGAGGGAGGGAGGAAGGGAGGAAGGGAGAGGTGTCTGAGAAGCTCCATGGACCCCCTGCCTTGACCACCTCCCGCCCGTGGAGCCCGGGCCCTGCACCTCGTAGTAGCTGTAGGAGTAGTTGGTGACAGCAAAGATAGGGATGATGTTGTGCTTGGCGAGCAGGCGCACCAGGGTGGGCACCGACGGGTAGTCCTGTGTCCTGTACTGGGTGTAGGTGCCCGTGGCGTCCAGGTGGCACCGTTCATCGTTGCGGCTCATGATGCCAGCCAGCACATTGGCACCGTCAGCCTCATAGTGGAAGGCCGACTCGGTGGAGAAGACCAGCAGGTGGGTGCTGTCCGGGCGCCAGCCAATGTCCCTCTGGGGAAGGCAAGGCAAGGTGTGCCCACTCAGCAGGCTGCCTGCTGACACGCGTCACGGCGTTGCGTAGGACGGGGAACGCAGGTCCCAACATGGGGCTGGGCTTAAGCCACTGGATTCACAGCAAGTACCCTCATGAAAGATGCATGTGATGGCACATGACTGAGTGACAACGCTGAGAAACAGGAGCCGAGGATGCGGCCCCCCAAGGAGCTGGGGCCACAGGTGTGCATCACATCCAGCTAATTTTGGTGTTTTCTACAGAGACAGGGTCTTGCCATGTTGCCCAGGCTGCTCTCAAACCCTGGACTTAAGCAATCCACTCACCTCAGCCTCCCAAAGTACTGGGATTACAGGTGTGATCCTTGCTTTTTGTTTTCTGACGTAAGTAATATGAGTATGTTATTTTAAAAATGAACAAATGGATGTACATATCAAAGGTAATGGCTTCTTTGGATGCCCAGAACAGGCGGAGACTGGGCAGCTGGTGGGTTCAGGGTACTAAAGATTCCAGAACCCTAAAGCCCAGTTGATACAAAACCAGGCTGTGACTGCTCAGGCCAGGGGACTGTGGCTCCCGGCACATCTGAACTCAGATTGTAACTGAGACCTACTCACAGAGTCTGAGCTTGTCTTAGGGCGAAGGGGTTGCAGGCTCCCAGGCTTTCCGCAGGGCCAGTGAGCCTGGCGCCAGAGCAGGCCAGGGGGCAGCTCAGGCCCTTGCCCAGAAGTGCTCGCCCCTGACCTGGGCTGGCAACGCCCTTCCCAGTGCCCACCGTGCACACGGCCGTCTGCAGGATGGCATCGAAGCCGCCCTCAGGAGCGTCCAGGTTGCCTGAGATCCTCTCCCCCTGCAGTTTATTCCGGAACTCATCCACATCTTCTGTCAGGCTGATGACGTTCTTGAAGGAGAAGGGGGGGTCACTGTTGGGCCAGGGCTCCTTCAGCCTGGGCAGAGGTGGGAGGGACAGAGAGTGTCACAGGGGGAAGACACTGCAGACCGCAGTGCCCCCAGCTCGTTTCAACTAGAAGGAAAATTTATTTTTTATTTTATTCTATTTTTTGAGACCAAGTCTTGCTTTATCGCCCAGGCTGGAGTGCAGTATGCACGATCTCAGCTCACTACAACCTCTGCCTCCTGGGTTCAAGCGATTCTCCTGTCTCAGCCTCCTGAGTAGCTGGGATTATAGGCGTGCCCCACCACGCCCAGTTAATTTTTTTTTTTTTTTTTTTTTTTGAGACGGAGTCTTGCTCTGTCACCCAGGCTGGAGTGCAGTGGCCAGATCTCAGCCCACTGCAAGCTCCGCCTCCCGGGTTCACGCCATTCTCCTGCCTCAGCCTCCCGAGTAGCTGGGACTACAGGCACCCGCCACCTCGCCCGGCTAGTTTTTTGTATTTTTTAGTAGAGACGGGGTTTCACCGTGTTAGCCAGGATGGTCTCGATCTCCTGACCTCGTGATCCGCCCGTCTCGGCCTCCCAAAGTGCTGGGATTACAGGCTTGAGCCACTGCGCCCGGCCAGTTAATTTTTTTTTTTTTTTGGAGACGGAGTCTCGCTCTGTCACACAGGCTGGAATGCCGTGGTGCGATCCTGGCTCACTGCAAGCTCCGCCTCCCGGGTTCACACCATTCTCCTGCCTCAGCCTCCTGAGTAGCTGGGACTACAGGCGCCCGCCACCACGCCCGGCTAATTTTTTGGTATTTTTAGTAGAGACGGGGTTTCACCATGTTAGCTAGGATGGTCTCGATCTCCTGACCTCATGATCCGCCTGCCTTGGCCTCCCAAAATGCTGGGATTACAGGCGTGAGCCACCGTGCCCAGCCGATTTTTGTTTTTTTTTAATAGAGACAGGGTTTTGCCATGTTGCCCAGGCTGGTCTTGAACTTCTGACCTCAGCTGATCTGCCCACCCTGGCCTCCCAAAGTGCTGGGATTACAGGTGTGAGCCACCATGCCAGGCCGTAGAAGAATTTTAAGTTGTGGATGAAAGAGGAGTGGGGATCACATGGCCTGGACCCTTGCCCACCCATGGGGTGGACCCAATCACTTACTTCTCAGGCCTCATGTCTGTCTGCGGGACGCTGACTTTGTCCACAAACTTGCCAAATCCAATAGTGTAGTCACTGGTGAGCTGGCTCAGGACCTGAGCTGGATGTCAACAAGACAGAGAGGGGATAGCTGAGCCCTGATGCCCGGCATAAACATGGGCCCCCCCACCAAAGGCTGGCTCAGAAGGGAGGAAGAGGGAAGTTAACACTTTGCATGCTGGACAAAGGTTCATGCTCACAACATCGTCTGTTCCTATTTACAGATGAGGGAAATGGGCCTGGGGGTCTGGAGTTACACACACGGCAAGGGCAGGGTGGCTGGGAATGCAACCCAGCTCTGAGGAGCAGAAGCTTCCCTACAGCCTCTTGGCAGGGGTACCCTCCTTGTCAGGGCCAGATGGCTCCACTGCCTGCTTGCCCTGGGCCTTCTCAGAAGTCCCCAGTGGTGAATAGGGTCTGGCTGAGATTATTCCCCTGAGAATGGAAGGGAAGGTTTTGGGGGGCTCAAATGTCCTGTGTTTCCTTCTGGGTGGGTACAGCTGTCCTGAGTCCTGGCCTCCCAAGCAGACGCCCACCCTGTCCCCCTCCTGTCCTGCTGTCCTCCACTCTGGCCCTGCTGTACCCAAGTTCTGCCCCATCTTCTTGAGGTTGTCCAGATCATCGGACATGGAGTTGGAGAAGTCCATGAGGATGTACAGGTCCACGGGGCTCTCCCGGGGCTCAAACACTTCCAGCTCAAAGTGCCGCTCCTCACCGGGCCGCAGCCGGACCCGCAGGCCCTGGGGGGACATCTGGCTGCGCCGCAGGGTGGTGTCAATCTGGGTCTCCTGCAGCCAGTGGAAGGGGACAGCTGGCTGGAGGGTCACTCCAGAGGCCCGAAGGGGGCCCAGCCCAGCCAAGGGGCACTATACACCCCCATAAATAGCCAGGCTGAGCATGGGGAGCCCCCACCCCAGTCCCCCCACCAGGCACCTCTGTAATCTGGAAGCTGCTCTCCATGACCACGATGCTCTCGCGCTGACAGCCTGCGGCCAGCAGCTCCGCCTGGGTGTTGCAGCGCCGGTCCCTGAACATCTGGCCAGAAGGACAGAGGGTCAGTGGGGGCAGCACCCATTCCCTGGCTGCCCCAACCCCAGATTCATTTCCACCAGCTATTCCTGACCCTTGCCCGTTCCACACCGACCCAGGCCAGGTCCTCACCTCGTCCGTGCAGTAGGCGCAGTCCTTATCCACACGGACACACTCCGTGCAGCTCTTCACTGGGGCCTTCTTGCAGCGGTTTGCTGGGGGGCGGAGGTGGGCACATGAATGGGGAGGCACTCAGCAAAGGCAAGCACTTTCCCACCTGCACCCTCACCTGGAGAGGTGGGGATTCCCTCGCTATGTTATTTATGTATTTGTGTATTTATGTATTTATTTATTATTATTTTTTTGAGACGGAGTCTCACTGTGTCGCCCAGGCTGGAGTGCAGTGGCGCAATCTCGGCTCATTGCAAGCTCCAACTCCCGGGTTCATGCCATTCTCCCACCTCAGCCTCTGGAGTAGCTGGGACTACAGGTGCCCACCACCACACCCAGCTAATTTTTTGTATTTTTAGTAGAGATGGGGTTTCACCGTGTTAGCCAGGATGGTCTCGATCTCCTGACCTTGTGAGCTGCCCGCCTCAGCCTCCCAAAGTGCTGGGATTACAGGCGGGAGCCACCGTGCCTGGCCTTACGTATTTATTTTGGTTTGTTGTTGTTGTATTTTTATTTTTTTTACTTTTTTTTCAGACAGAGTCTTGCTATGTTGTCCAGGCTGGAGTGCAGTGGTGTGATCTCAGCTCACTGCAACCCCCGCCTCCCAGGTTCAAGTGATTCTCCTGCCTCAGCCTCCCAAGTAGCTGGGATAATAAATAGGTGGGCACCACCATGCCTGGCTAATTTTTGTATTTTTAGTAGAGATGGGGTTTCACTATGTTGGCCAGGCTGGTCTCGAACTCCTGACCTCAAATGATCTGCCTGCCTCAGCCTCCCAAAGTGCTGGGATTACAGGTGTGAGCCACTGTGCCCAGTCTGCATTTCAATTTTATTTAGTTTTGAGATACGGTCTTGCTGTGTCACCCAGGCTGGAGTGCAGTGGCATGACCATAGCTCACTGCAGTCTCGACATCCTGGGCTCAGGCAATCCTCCCACTTCAGTCTCCCAAGTAGCCCAGCTAATTTTTTATTTTTTGTAGAGACAGGGGCTCCCTGTGTTGCTCAGGATGGCCTCAAATTCCTGGGTTCAGTCAATCCTCCCACCTTGGCCTCCCAAAGTGCTGGGAATTATAGGTGTGAGCCACTGCACCCAGCCCTTCCCTATTTTACAGAGGCTAGGGTGTGTGGTCTACCCCAGGTAGCACAGCTAAAAACAAGCTGTGGTTTCAAACCTGGGACTTCCCACTCAAGCCAGAAGGACAGAAGGTGGGGACTGAGTCGGTGGCACTGGCACATTCAGTGTTGGCACACCCTGGCCAGCCCCTGGCCTGCTGCCTCCTCAGGTCCAGCAGGCGTTCCTCAGCCTTCCCCATTACCTTTGATGAGCTGCATCTAGCACTGGGCCCTTTCCAAGTCCCTCCTCCATCACAGCTTGTGCTTTAGAGCGAGACCACTGCCACACGGCCTGTCTGTCCTCTGAGCCTCCTCTAGGGTGAAGGGAACGATGTCTTGTTTATCATGGTAGCCCTAGCACCCAGCACACCCGGCACACAGTGGGTCCTCAGTAACGAATGAAGTAAAACTCTAGATTGCCCCATTGACTCTGCTCAGTTAAAAATCACAGTGAGGACCTACTGTGTGCACCCGGTGTACACAGTAAGAGGTCTCCTAGGTTTCAGGCAATGGTGTGCTGGTCAGTGTTTAACAATAGCTCTGGTGGCTGGTGAGGTGGCTCACACCTGTAATCCCAGCACTTTGGGAGGCTGAGGTAGGAAGATTACTGAAGCTCAGGAGTTTGAGACCAGCCTGGGTAACACAGTGAGACTGTCTCTACAAAAAAAAAATTGTTTTTAATTAGCCAAGCATGGTGGTGCACGCCTGTGGTCCTAGCTACTCGGGAGGCTGAGGTGGGAGGATTGCTTGAGCCTGGGAAGTTGAGGCTGCAGTGAGCCATGATGGCATTACTGCACTCTACCGGGATGACAGAGTGAGAGCATGTTTCTACATATACATTGAGTTAAATAAATAATAAATAAATAAATAACAACGGCTCTGGTCTCTGGTGCTTGACCTATAGCGTTTGCCAATTTCTGTGGTGTAAACATTTCTGTCATGGTCTATTTCAAGCCACCAGCAGGACCCCCTCTGACAGACAAAATTCAAGTGGTAGGAGCTGGCTCCAGTGATTTGTCCACTAGTGACACTCAGACAGCAGGTGACACGTCAGCAGTCCCTCTCTTCTCCAAATTCCTATAACCCTCTCAACTCCACCTCTGAGGCCTCAGTGCATCCTCTGGGTGCCTCAGTCCTGGGTGGGCATCTGCTGTCTCCTCTAGACACAGCCTCCTTCCCTCCTATTCTCAGGCCCTGTGGCCAGTGCTCAAGATTCTCTAGGCTGAAGAGCTTGGAGCCTCAAGTTTTCCTGAGGTGGGCAGTGCTCTGAAGGTGGGCAGTGGTCAGTTGCTGAATGGCCAAGAGTGTTTAGGTGAGACCCTGTGAGAACCTGTGCAAGGGCAATGCCTGCCCAAGGTATGCCAGGAAGGGGCTGCAGGGCAACGTGGACTCACCCAAGGTCCCAGAGAGGCTGACGCTGATCAAGGCTGCCAGTAGCAGCCTGGCCCATGGGCTGGGGCGTGGCCCTGCCATCCTCTTCCTCCTGCAGAACAGCAACAATTGACACATGAGGCCTCAACAGCCATGGTCGGTGCCTTCAGCTCCCTCTCACTGCACAGCTGTGGGAACTGAGGCTCTGAGCGCCGGTGATGGGACCAAGGGCGCCCAGCTGCGAGAGGTAGGGCCCTGGGCCTCTGACTCCTGCCTTTTCCACTGCCTTGTTCAGTGCCATCCCTGCAGTGGCCGGATGCCCTGCCCAGGGAGGCCCCCTCCAGCCCTCAAGGACTTTGGTTTGCAAGTTTGTGCCAGCGCTGGGCCTGTCAGCGCTGGGCTCCCTGAGGGCAGATCCGAGTTTATTCTTCTTTGCCTTTTAGCTCCCAGTGGGCCTGGGTCAGGCTTGGCCATGACAGGCCCCAGTGAGGGCTCACCCTGAGAGGCGGCCACGGTTCTGCCTCCTGCTCCTTCTGTCCTGGCCCACTTACCCTTTGGTGAGGGTGGCACAGCTGGGAGGAGAGGGGCCCCTCCCAATATCTGGGGCCTGGGGCTGGGCCACAGCTGCGCGCAGTAGCTTACCGCACCGGGTTGGGTTCTGCGGTGACTGCCCGGCCCATCAGGGTGGGGTCTGAATCCTCTGCCCTACCCTGTACCTCTGCCTGCCCCAGAGTTAAGTTTTCGGGGCCCCTGAGCTGTTCACCCTTTCACAAGTTAGCCCAGAGTGAGACACACACACACACACACACACACACACACACACACACACACACACACACACACACACACACACACACTGTGGCTCGCCCTGAGGCATCCCCGGCGGCTGTGGGTTCAGTATTAAACCATCCCAAGTCCTCAGCAGATTTCAGGGCAGGCCTGGGCATCCCTGAGGCCCTCTAAGAGATGCTCAGCCTGAAGCCTGGACAAGAAAAGAGGCTGGCAGCAGAGCCACCCAGGCCTGCAGGGCCGGGGCAAAGGTGAGCACCTTGCCTCTTTCTCTAGGGCCAGGTCTCCCAGGGGCCCAAGCCTCTGCCCTGCCCACTGGCCCTCCCCATTGAATCCTTTCTCAGCCTGGCTTCTGGGGCACTGGCCGCCCCAGGGTCTGGGGGCTGCAGTCCCCGAGTTGCTGGAGAAGACCTTCTCAGGCCAAGGGCAGGAGGGTGTAGCCTGCCTCTAAGGTGTGCAGCCTGGAGGAGGCCTCAGCAGTGACAACACAGGTAGGGCAGTTGTGGCACAGGGGCCAGGAGGCAGCCCTGAGCCAGCAGGGAAAGGCTGGGGACAGCAGGGTTCCTAGAGGGAAATGACTTCCTTGCAGCCTCGGGGTGTAGGCGCCACACCCACATGCTACACAATACAGGCTGCAGGCTCAGGCCTCCCAGGCATCATTACACAGGCAGGTACAGGCCCGCAGAGCTGAGCCCAGCTCTTCCTCCCACTGCCCCGGCCACACCCCCGCAGGCAGTGCTGATTCGCACACCCTGACCGCCACATGTGCCCAGGGCTTCACGGAGGTGACTGCTCAGCACAGGAGCCCGGTGGGGAGATGCTTACATTCTGCCCGTTTCCCAGATGAGAGACCAGGCACAGAAGGCTGTGGAGCTTCCCCATCCCACGGCCCGCACTGGGAGGGCCAGGATAGGGCCCTGCTCTGCAGGCCCTGCCTTCAACCTCCATGGCAGCCTCCATGCAGAGGCTACAAAATGGCAGTTAGAGGGTTGGCGAGGCACCCAAGAGTGTTTGACTTGACTTAACTTGTTTAGAAAGTTTTAAAAGTAGGAGCCAATGTTAGAAACAACGAGATTTCCCATAGAAGTCAGGAATTCGTGTTTATCATTAGATGCGTCATGATGGGCTGGGCCCAGCGCTCAGGACACCCACTCTCCAGGCGGCCCGGACCCCACCAGGCTGCCCCAACTGTATGTGCCAGCAGTTCCCTGGAGTGTGTGACTGCCACCCTGAATGCCATCACACTGCAGCACAGGCAGCTTCCCACACTCAGGGACACACACACATACAGGCCATGTCCACCCACCCACGGGCTCAGAGCTCCCCTGGCCCCCCATCCCAATCCCTGGGGACCCCTCTGGGCACATCTGCTCCTGCCCACCATCCCCTCTCACTGTCACATCTCCTTCCCTCAGGGACCCAGGCCAGTCCCTCGCCCCCCAGAGGCAGCTGGCCAGAAGTCTGGGGACCCTAGGCCCTTGGCTGCTGTGTCATCCCCGAGAAATCAGGGTCGAGTAGACAGACATACCTCCCCTGCTGTCCCTCCTGCTGTCCTTCCCTCGGTCCCCAGGATGGAGACTCCAAGCCTTCACTGCCAGCTCTGTTGGAGACAGCAACAACCATGCCACCTGTGCCTGGTCCTTGTCCTCAGGGTGTGGCAAGGCCATGGGGTGGAGGAGGAGCCCTGTCCCTGCCCCTGGGAGTCACTAGGAGCCCCAGAGCCCCAATCCCAGCCAGAGGGCCACCCCAGAGGCCGAGCCGTGGGAAAAAGGGCCGATGCTGCAGGAGGTGGCAGTGTTGGGCACAGCCCCAGGGCTGGTGGGTGAGGCCAGTAGAGCTTCCTGAAGGAAGGCGCCTAGGGCTGACTTTGGAAGGAAGGCAGGCCTGTGCCTGGCCAAGAGAAAAGGAAAATCAGGGACTCCCCAGCCCCAGATGGACTGTGGCACCGCACAGAGCAGGCCCTGCCTGGAGCCGGGAGGGCATCTGCCTCTCAGGGTGGCTTTTAAAAGTAGCAGTCAATGTTAGAAACAACGAAACTTCACATAAAAGTCAGGAATGTGGGTTTATCATTAGATGCGCCATGATGGGCTGGGCCCATCGCTCAGGGTAGCTTCTCCTCCACCTTCTTTGCAAACCCCAGAGGGACCCAGCCCCAGAGGCCTGCCAGCCACTGACCTCTGCCCACTTCTCCCGCAGGCGCACCCAAGGCGCTCCTCTGGCCTGGAGGTCTGATGGGCACCACCCTTCTCTAGCTGCCCTGCCCCTCAGCTCCCAGTTGCCCCCGGCACACTCCAGGGCGGCTGGACCCCTGTCCTGGGCAGCGTGGACGAAGGGACCCGGGCCTGCCAGCCTTCAGGGAGGGGAAGGGGAGATAAAAGCCACCTGCCCTGCCCGACTAGCTCCCCTGCGCGGCTGCCCAGCTGGCGTGGACACTCACCCTCTCCCGGTCAGCCTCGGCTGCTGTCGTGCGTCCGTCCTGGACCTACCTCGGAGCGGACTCGCTCCCTCTGCGCCTGGGCTGCCGCTAGGAGATGGGGCTGCAGCGCGCGGGCGAGCCGGGACGGTCTGAGGGCGAGCACGGGGGTTGGGGGGGGAGGACGGGGCGGGCAGCACTTTATGGGGCGGGCGCGCAGGTAGGAAGGAGGCGCTGGTGAGTCAGGCGGGCCGCATTCCTTCGCGCGGCGCGCACCTGTCGGGGCAGGAGCTGGGTGCCGCCGTTGCCGGGTCCGCCCCCCGGAAAGGGCTGCGGCTCCCGCGGCGCCCGCCCAGCGCTCCGATCGGCCAGCGGCGGGGGCCGGGGGAGGAGCCACCGCTCTCCCTCTGCCTCCAGTTTGGTCCCGAGCTCGGGGCGCCTTCACCCTTCCAGGCTCCGGGCTCCAGGCTCGGGTGCACGGGATGCCCCGGGCTGGAGGCGGCCTCTTAGCCCCCCGCCCGCACGGGAACCTTCCCTGCCCCGAGTCTGGGCGGCGAGCCACCGCCGGGCTGTGCTGTTGCTGCCCCGACGGCCGTCAGCCGCGTACCCCCTCCCTGCTCCCCGTGCCAGGGCGAGGCATGGGCCCAGGGAGTGCCCCCGGCCCGATCGCGAGGCCTGACTCCCCGTCCCAGCTCCGCTCTGCAGTTCACAGGGTCCTCTCAGCCTCCTACCCCCTAACCTCACGTTGTGTCCAGAGGGAGATCCGAGGAAGGGTCGGGTCCTCGGTGCACGCTTGAACAAGCTACTTAAACCTCCTTACAATGTGAACAATGATACCCTGGAGAGGCCAGTGACGACCTGGCATGGATTGGCACTCGATGCCTTGTTACAGTTGTTCTTGACAAGCTGGTTACGGAGCTGCCCCCTCCCTCCAGTCAGTCCTCTGAGAGCAGTCTCTCAAGTGCCACTGGTTACCATGCGTGTTCAGGTCAGAGCCTCTCAAGGAGCTCCATGATCCCAAAGGGCTCCATTTTTCTTTTTCTTTTCTTTTCTTCTTCTTCTTTTTTTTTTTTAGACGGAGTCTCACTCTGTCGCCCAGGCTGGAGTGCAGTGGTGCAATCTTGGCTCACTGCAACCTCCGCCTCCTGGGTTCAAGCGCTTCTCCTGCCTCAGTCTCCCGAGTAGCTGGGATTACAGGCGCCCGCCACCACGCCCAGCTAATTTTTGTGTTTTTAGTAGAGACGGGTTTTTGCCATGTTGGCCAGGCTGGTCTTGAACTCCTGACCTCAGGTGATCCGCCCACTTTGGCCTCCCAAAATGCTGGGATTACACGTGTGAGCCACCGCGCCTGGCCCCTTTTCACATCTAAGGAAATTAATAATGTCTCCATTAAATGATGTGTGATTCAGTTCATATTCAAATTTTCTTAGCTGTCTCCAAAATGTCTATTAAAGGTTTCCTTTTGAATTTGAGTCCAATCCATGCCGCCTATTGCATTTGTTTTCTCTCTTTGTTATTCTAAAATAGAACCCTCACCATCCCATCTCCTGCCCCACATTCACTTTTTTTTAGACAGTCTTGCTCTTGTCACCCAGACTGGAATGCAGTGGCACGATCTTGGCTCACTGAAACCTCTGCCTCCTGGGCTCAAGTGATTCTCCTGCCTCAGCCCCCCGAGTAGCTGGGACCACAGGTGTGCACTACTGCACCTGGCTAATTTTTGTATTTTCTTTTTGGTAGAGACAGGGTTTCGCCATATTGGCCAGGCAGGTCTCGAACTCCTGGCCTCAAGTGATCCACCCACCTCGGCCTCCCAAAGTGTTGGGATTAAAAGCATGAGCCACTGTGCCCGGCCCCCACTTTGACCTTTTAGGAGCTGGGCCAGCTGTCCTGCAGAACGCTTCCCTTTCTGGACTTGTGTTCCTCATGGGAGGCTTCCTTCTGCAATGCTTCCTCGTGGTGTCGCTGGGCCTTTCTTTCTGCCCCTTGTAAACTGAAGGATAGGGCTAAAGGTCAGATTAGAATTAAGTTAAATATTTTTGGCAAGGATGGTCACAGGTGGTGCTGTGTGGTTTGTAGGTGGCAATTGATACCAGGTGCCTCGTAGTGAGGTTTAAGCCAATCACTTGGTTAAGGAAGTGACTGCCATCTCTCCCAATGTAAAAACACCAATTTTCACTTTGTGATTAAGAAGTAATCTACTGGTAATCCCAGCGCTTTGGGAGACCGAGGTGGGCAGATCATGAGGTCAGAAGATCGAGACCATCCTGGCTAACACGGTGAAACCCTGTCTCTACTAAAAATAAAAAAAATTAGCCAGGCATGGTGGCGGGCGCCTGTAGTCCCAGCTACTTGGGAGGCTGAGGCAGGAGAATGACATGAACCCTGGAGGTGGAGCTTGCAGTGAGCCCAGATTGTGCCACTGCACTCTAGTCTGGGCAACAGAGCAAGGCTCCGTCTCAAAGAAAATAAAAGTAAGCTACATGTAATCCCAGCACTTTGGAAAGCCGAGGCTAGAGGATCGCTTGAGGACAGCAGTTCAAAGCTAGCCTGGGCAGCACAGGAAGACCCCGGCTCTGCAAAAAATAAAAATAAAATTGGCTGGGTGTGGTGCCATGCACCTGTGAGGTAAGGCAAGAGGATCCCTTGAGCCCAGGAGTTCGAGGTTGCAGTGAGCTATCAAGCCACGACACTCTAGCCTGGGAGACAGAGTGATATCTTGTCTCTCTTTTTTTTTTTTTTTTTTTTTTGAGACGGAGTCTCGCTCTGTCGCCCAGGCTGGAGTGCAGTGGCCGGATCTCAGCTCACTGCAAGCTCCGCCTCCCGGGTTCACGCCATTCTCCGGCCTCAGCCTCCCGAGTAGCTGGGACTACAGGCGCCCACCACCTCGCCCGGCTAGTTTTTTGTATTTCTTAATAGAGACGGGGTTTCACCGTGTTAGCCAGGATGGTCTCGATGTCGTGACCTCGTGATCCGCCTGTCTTGGCCTCCCATAGTGCTGGGATTACAGGCTTGAGCCACTGCGCCCGGCCGATATCTTGTCTCTCTAAAAGAAAAAAAAATTAAAATTAAACAATAAGCCGGGCACAGTGGCTTACATCTGTAATCCCAACACTTTGGGCGGCCAAGGCAGGTGCATCACTTGAAGCCAGGAGTTCGAGACCATCCTGGTCAACATGGAGAAACCTCGTCTCTACTAAAAAAAAAAAAAAGTCTGGGCGTTGTGGCTCACGCCTGTAATCCCAGCACTTTCGGAGGCTGAGGCGAGCGGATCATAAGGTCAGGAGTTAGAGACAAGCCTGGCCAACATAGTGAGACCACATCTCTACTAAAAATACAAAAACTAGCTGGGCATGGTGGCAGGCGCCTGTAGTCCCAGCTACCCAGGAGGCTGAGGCAGGAGAACTGCTTGAACCCGGAAGGCAGAGATTGTGGTGAGTAGAGATCGCACCACTGCACTCCGGCCTGGGCAACAGAGAGAGGCTCTATCTCAAAAAAAAAAAAAAAGACCTGGGTGTGGTGGCATGTATCTGTAATCCCAGCTACTTGGGAAGCTGAGGCATGAGAATTGCTTGAACCCAGGAGGTCGAGGTTGCAGTGAGCTGAGATTGCACCACTGCACTCCAGCCTGGGCAACAGAGCAAGACTCTGTCTCAAAAATAATAATAATAATAATAATAATAATAAAATAATTAAATTAAACAATAAAAAGAAAAAAAAAAGGTGATCTAGAGGAGGAGGATGATCCTTTGTCTCCCTGTCCATCTCCCAACAAGCCTTCACTGAATCGTTTTAGCACGCATTGGTGACCCTGGCTTGAATCAGTTAGACTGTCCCCAACCTAGATGCTTTGATTTAGCATTTTTTTTTTTTTTTTTGAGACGGAGTCTGGCTCTGTCACCCAGGCTGGAGTGCAGTGGCGCGATCTCGGCTCACTGTAAGCTGCGCCTCCCGGGTTTACGCCATTCTCCTGCCTCAGCCTCCCGAGTAGCTGGGACTACAGGCGCCCACCACCTCGCCCGGCTAGTTTTTTGTATTTTTTTTTTTTAAGTAGAGACGGGGTTTCACAATGTTAGCCAGGATGGTCTCGATCTCCTGACCTCGTGATCCGCCCGTCTCGGCCTCCCAAAGTGCTGGGATTACAGGCTTGAGCCACCGCGCCCGGCCGACTTAAGATTTTTTTTTACTTTACTATGGATTTATCAGGGTATTAAATGCATCTTCCACTTACATTTTTCACTTACAATGGGTTTATCTGGACATAACCCTATCATAAGTCTAAGGGCACCTGTATTATTTTGGGGGCTGAAAAATTGCAATTTTCTGTTTCTACCTTCCTTCTACATTTTAATTAATTAATTAATTAGTTTATTTATTTAAGATGGAGTCTCTCTCTGTCACCCAGGCTGGAGTGCAGTGGCACAATCTCGGCTCACTGCAAGCTCCGCCTTCTGGGTTCACGCCATTCTCCTGCCTCAGTCTCCCGAATAGCTGGGACTACAGGTGCCTGCCACCACGCCCAGTTAATTTTTTTATATTTCTAGTAGAGACAGGGTTTCACCATGTTAGCCAGGATGGTCTCCATCTCCTGACCTCGTGATCCGCCCACCTTGGCCTCCAAAAGTGCTCGGATTACAGGCATGAGCCACTGTGCCTGGCCCTATTTTTTTAACTTTTAATTTTTTCTTTTTTTTTGAGACAGTCTCGCTCTGTCGCCCAGGTTGGAGTGCAGTGGCGTGATCTTGGCTCATTGCAAACTCCACCTCATGGGTTCAAGTGATTCTCCTGCCTCAGCCCCCTGAGTACAGGTGCACGCCACCACACCTGGATAATTGTTTTTTTTTTTTTTTGAGATAGAGTCTCACTCTGTCACCCAGGCTGGAGTGTAGTGGTGTGATCTCGGCTCACTGCAAGCTCCGCCTTCTGGGTTCACACCATTCTCCTGCCTCAGTCTCCCGAATAGCTGGGACTACAGGCCCCCACCACCATACCTGGCTAATTGTTTGTATTTTTAGTAGAGATGGGATTTCACCGTGTTAGCCAGGATGGTCTTTTTTTTTTTTTTTTTGAGACGGAGTCTCGCTCTGTCGCCCAGGCTGGAGTGCAGTGGCGCGATCTCGGCTCACTGCAAGCTCCGCCTCCCGGGTTCACGCCATTCTCCTGCCTCAGCCTCCCGAGTAGCTGGGACTACAGGCGCCCACAACCGCGCCCGGCTAATTTTTTGTATTTTTAGTAGAGACGGGGTTTCACCGTGGTCTCGATCTCCTGACCTTGTGATCCGCCCGCCTCGGCCTCCCAAAGTGCTGGGATTACAGGCGTGAGCCACCGCGCCCGGCTAGCCAGGATGGTCTTGATCTCCTGACCTCGTGATCCACCCACCTTGGCCTCCCAAAGTGCTGGGATTACAAGAGTGAGCCACTGCACCCCGCCTTTTTTTTTTTTTTTTTTTTTTTTTTTAGTAGAGTTAGTGTTTTGACATTTGGCCAGGCTGGTCTTGAACTCCTGACATCAGGTGATCTTCCCACCTCAGCTTCCCAAAGTGCTGGGATTACAGGTGTGAGCCATTGTGCCCAGCCCCTTTCTACATTTAATAAGTGTCTTTCTGATTAAAAAAAAAAAAATAGAGGTTCCCTTAATCAACTGGGAATGAACTATGTTCCCCTAAAAATGCAGGGTAAATGCTTTTTTAAATAAAGTTTTGAGTTACAGAAACTTTAAAAAATCACTATTGCAAAGCAACCCAAAACATTTTTTTTTAAAAAGATAGGCTGGGCGCGGTGGCTCCCGCCTATAATCCCAGCACTTTGGGAGGCTGAGGCAGGCGGATCACGAGGTTAGAAGATTGAGACCATCCTGGCTAACACGGTGAAACCCTGTCTCTACAAAAAAAATATTTAAAAAATTAGCCGGGCATGGTGGCCGGTGTCTGTAGTCCCAGTTACTTGGGAGGCTGAGGCAGGAGAATGGCAAGAACCCGGGAGGCGGAGCTTGCAGTAAGTGGAGATCATGCCACTGCACTCCAGCCTGGGTGACAGAGCAAGACTCCATCTCAAAATAAAGAAATAAAATAAATAAATAAAAAAAAGATGGTAAAAACACGTTAAAGTTCACCATTTTTACCATTTTTTAAGTGTACAGTTCAATATATTTATTGTTGTGTAACAGATCGCCAGAACTTTTCATTTTGCAAAACTAAAATCTTGTATCCATTAAGCAACTCTCCCTTTCACCTTTCTGCATCCCCAGTTCCCAGCAACCACCATTTTACTTCCTGTCTCTATGAATTTGTCTACTCTGGATGTCTCATATAAATGGAATTGTACAGTATTTCTTTTTTTTTTTTTTTTTTTTTTTTTGAGACAGAGTCTCGCTCTGTCGCCCAGGCTGGAGTGCAGTGGCGCGATCTCGGCTCACTGCAAGCTCCGCCTCCCGGGTTCACGCCATTCTCCCGCCTCAGCCTCCCAAGTAGCTGGGACTACAGGCGCCCGCCACCACGCCCAGCTAGTTTTTTTTTGTATTTTTAGTAGAGACGGGGTTTCACCATGTTAGCCAGGATAGTCTCGATCTCCTGACCTCGTGATCCACCCGCCTCGGCCTCCCAAAGTGCTGGGATTACAGGCTTGAGCCACTGTGCCCGGCCTGTACAGTATTTCTTATTGTGACTGGTTTATTGCACTTAGCATAATGTCCCTGAGGTTCACGCATGTGTTGAATGTGACATGATTTCCTTCCTTTTTAAGGCTGAATATTTACATATGCGTGTATGTATATTGTATGTATATATCATTATTTGTTTATCCACTCATCTGTCAATGGACATTGATGTAGTCTACTCCAATGGATATAGTCCCAGGTACTTTGGGGAATGAGGTAGGAGGATTGCTTGAGCCTAGAAGTAGGTTGCAGTGAGCCAAGATGACACCACTGCACTCCAGCCTGGGCAACAGAGTGAGACTGTCTTAAAAAAAAATAAACTTTTGAAGAACTGCCATCCTGCTTCCACAGCAGTTGCACCACTTCAAAATCCCATCTACGGTGCACAATGGTTAATTCTTCTCAGCTAATTATCAATTTCAGAATAAGGAGTAGATATATTCAAGTCTAATGGTGGCAAATACATTTTTTTTCCAAATTATCACTATGAATGAAAGGATTTTTATTTGCTCAATAGTTTGCAATTCATTGTAGGCCAGGCACAGTGGCTCATGCCTGTAATCCTAGCACTTTGGGAAGCCGAGGAGGGTGGATCACCTGAGGTCAGGAGTTTGAGACCAGCCTGGCCAACATGGTGAAACCCCGTTTGTACTAAAAATACAAAAGTTAGCTGGGCGTGGTGGTGGGCACCTGTAATCCCAGCTACTCAGGAGGCTGAAGCAGGAGAATCGCTTGAACCCGGGAGGCAGAGGTTGCAGTGAACCGGGATCGTGCCACTGCACTCCAGCCTGGACAACAGAGCGAGATGCTGTCTCAAAAAAAAACCCCCAAAACACACAACTCATTGTAATCATTCTTCCTTCATGTTCAAATGCAACCAAATTTGGCCAGTAGGAGATCCCTTCACCCTAGCTTCTTTGACCTTTCGATCTGACTTCCGTGTCTTCCCTGCTTTCCAGAACCGCCTTAGTCCTACTTAGATTTCAGGATCCGCTGTTTCTCCAAGGGGCCCCGGCATGGTTCCTTTCAGCAGGGAATGGTATTAGAGACCACGATGTGAGTACTGTGTGCTGGATGCTACCAGGGTGTCACTGCTTTCAGGTCTTTTTTTTTTAACTCACCATACACAAAGCAGGAGGTCCTAGCTCCTTGCAATGGACAGATAGGAGCTGTTGCCCAGGCTGGAGTGCAGTGGTGAAATCTTGGCTCACAGCAGCCTCTAACTCCTGGGCTCAAAGGATCCTCCCATCTCAGCCACCTGAGTAGTTGGAACTACAGGTGCATACCCCCACACCTGGCAATTGTTATTATTTTAGATAGAGTCTTGCTCTGTTGCCCAGGGTGGAGTGCAGTGGCACGATCTTGGCTCACTGCAACCTCTGCCTCCCAGGTTCAAGCGATTCTCTTGCCTCAGCCTCCCAACTAGCTGGGACTACAGGTGTGCACCACCATGACTGACTGATTTTTGTATTTTTAGTAGGGATGGGGTGTCACCACGTTGGCCAGACTGGTCTTGAACTCCTGGCCTCAAGTGATCTGCCTGCCTCCTCCCAAAGTGTTGGGATTACAGGCATGAGCCACCACGCCCAGCCAATTATTTTTTATTTTGTATAGTATTTCCTCCCTTCTTTTTTTTTTTTTTTTGAGACAGAGTCTCGCTCTGTCGCCCAGGCTGGAGTGCAGTGGCCGGATCTCAGCTCACTGCAACCTCTGCCACCCGGGTTCAAGCAATTCTCCTGCCTCAGCCTCCTGAGTAGCTGGGATTATAAGCGCCTGCTATCACACCCGACTAATTTTTTTATTTTTAGTAGAGATGGGGTTTCACCATGTTGGCCAGGTTGGTCTTGAATTCCTGACCTTGTGATCCGCCTGCCTTGGCCTCCCAAAGTGCTGGAATTAAAAGGCGTAAGCCACTGCGCCGGCCCTTTTTTTTTTTTTTTTTTTTGGGACGGAGTTTTTGCTCTTGTTGCCCAGGTTGAGGAGCAATGGCACAATCTCAGCTCACTGCAACCTCTGCCTCCCCGGTTCAAGCTATTCTCCTGCCTCAGCCTCCCAACTAGCTGGGATTACAGGCATGCACCACCACGCCCAGGTAGTTTTAAAAAAATTATTATTTAGTAGAGACGGGGTTTCACGATGTTGGTCAGGCTGGTCTTGAACTCCCAACCTCGTGTGATCCATCCACCTCGGCCTCCCAAAGTGCTAGGCTTACAGACGTGAACCACCGCACCCGGCCCCTTGTTCTTTTTTGTGTGGCTTAATAGCCCTCCAACCCCCTCAGCCCCAGAGGGAGTTTCGCTCATCGCCCAGGTTGGAGTGCAATGGCGCCATCTAGGTTCACTGCAACCTCTGCCTCAGTGACTCTCCTGCCTCAGCCTCCCGAGTAGCTGGGATTACAGGCGCCCACCACCATGCCCGGCTAATTTTTGTTTTTTTGTTTTTTTTTTGAGATGGAGTCTCGCTCTGTCGCCCAGGCTGGAGTGCAGTGGCGAGATCTCGGCTCACTGCAAGCTCCGCCTCCCGGGTTCACGCCATTCTCCTGCCTCAGCCTCCTGAGTAGCTGGGACTACAGGCGCCCACCACCATGCCTCAGCTAATTTTTTTTTGTATTTTTAGCAGAGACAGGGTTTCACCGTGTTAGCCAGGATGGTCTTGATCTCCCCACCTCGTGAGCCGCCCGTTTCGGCCTCCCAAATGCTGTGATTACAGGCGTGAGCCACCGCACCCGGCCTAATTTTTGTATTTTTAGTAGAGATGGGGTTTCGCCATGTTGGCCAGGCTGGTCTCGAACTCCTGACCTCAGGTGATCCACCCACCTCAGCTTCCCAGTGTTGGGATTCCAGGCATGAGCCACCACGCCAGGCTCAGCAGCCCTTAAAAAATCCTTTATTATAGAGATTTCCAAATAGATACAAAATTAAAAACACTGAACCCTCCTGTACCTATCACCGAACCTCAGTAATTGTCAAGGCAGTGCCAAGTGACAGCAGCCGTTCAGAATCCAGCCCTAGGTGGCTTGAGTGATGCTGTGAGCACAGGGTTGGGAGCTGGAAACTTTCATTTCAGTGACCATAGGAGCAGAGACCACCCCTTCGGAAGATAAGCAAACTCACCTCTCCTCTCATCCCTCCATCCTCCGAATCACCTGCGTACTTATCTCATGCCAGGCACTGGGGCACACTGTTATTTATGCCTGCTTTGTTTCTGCTTGCAAGAACTAGGAGACATGAGCTGTTTCATCCCCATTTGTGGGCAGAGGCTACAAGGCAGTGAAGTGTGATCCTAAAAGCAAGGGGGTGCTGCAAGCACTGAGAATGGAGCACCCCGCTGTCCAGCAGTCAGGAGGGGATTATAAAAAGCTGAGACACATCTTGGGGTATTACATGTGCAAGGTGCGGAGCTAAATGAATCCCGATGCCCACCCAAGATCAGAGCCCTAGGGAGAGGTAGCGGGTGTGTGAGTGGGGGACAGTAGGAGCCGTGGACAGAGCTCAGTTTGGACACTGTTCTCTGGTGAGCAGACACACACTGGTCAGAAACAACTTTGGCCCCTAGTGCCTGGGCCATCCACCCACAACAGGAACTGTTCACACACCTCTGGGCCATCCCTGATGGGACTAAGGTGGGCAAGCACCATTTTAGAGAAGAGGAAATGAAAGTCCAGAAGGATTAGAAACCTTGACCCAACTCACGAAGCTAAGTGGGGCAGCAGTTTTGCCTGCGGCTGCCCAACTCTCAGCCTGTGTTCACTCTCCAGGCCCCCCACCTCTGGGGCCCCGCAAGAGACAGTCATTACTGCTTTAACTGAACAGATAAATGGCAGGGCTGGGGCTGCCCAGAGGAAAGCGGGTAGGGGAAAGACCTGCCAAACCCCATCCTCCCTGACAGAGCATGAGACGGGGAACAGGCCAGTTTGCTTCTCTCCTCGGTCTACAACAAAACAAAATTGGATTTAGCCAACAACAAACACTGGCAGGAACTTTACAGTTTATAAAGCTTTTGCATAAGTCACCTCTGGTTCCTCCCAACCAACTTACGACGCTTTATGACCGTGATTTTCAGACAAGAAACAGGCTTACAGAGGTAAGGGTTTGAGACCACTCAACTGGTTTTAACAGAATCTGGCCAGAGGTGCCGGCTCCACGTCCACTGCCCTTTCCGCAGCGCCACGGTGCCTCCCACAAAACACCCACAGCGTCCTTGGCTGATGAGGGGCCCCTGTCGGAGGCCACAGGAAGCCTTTTCAGAGCCCCTCTGGGGCATGAGTGGGGAGCGGCTCTGCTCCCCAGAGCTTCAAAGCCCCATCAAGGAAGGGCTGAGACCTGACCTGCTGAAGTGGCCGAGTGTGTGTATGGGGAGAGTGGACTCAATTTTTATTTTTGAAACCTCATGCACAGAGTTCCTTATACTCCTCAGGTCCCACAAGAGTACCAGGTGCAGTTTCAGAACCACCTTTCTAAACCTCTGCCCACCGACTGAAAGCAACACAGCCCTTCACAGCCCGGCTTCCTTCTTTTGACACACAGCTCTTCCGCTCCAGTGGAGAGTCGCCAAAGGTCACGAAGGGTAAACAGTCTCCTCTGGACTCCCGGTCTGGGAAACCCGTTTCAGCCCCGGGGGGAGCCCAGTGGCCACTGGCGCTGCCCAGGGGCTGCTGTGGGGCAGAGATAACACGCACAGGAAGGGTGGGGTGGCAGGAGCCCTCCCAGGAGCAGGGCTTGCCCGTAAACAATGAGCTGCCGCCTGGCCAGGGCAGGAGGTGATTCATCTGCCCCCGCTGCTCAGCTCCTGGCTGGCCGCGCTCACGGGGCACCGAGGGACTGGGGCAGCCCTGGCCAGGCGCTGACGCCTCCCTACTCCCTGCACAGGTCAGGATCTCACCCCAGCCCTTCTGGAAACTGGCTTGACTTCAAAAGCCTGGGTGTGTCCAAGAAGTGATCTGGACTGGGGAGTGCTCAAATGCACCCAAGGGAGCACAGCTCCACCATCACCCAAGAACTGGCTGGGTTTTGGGATCCAGGCGGCACATGGAGCGAACGTGGAGCTTGGGGGGGTCCCGCCTGTCCATGTCCAGAGGCGTACACGGGTAACAACGGTGACTTCTTGGGCCACCCCTCTGAACGGCGTCCTAGGCCTCCATCACCCTATCGTCAACCCTGAGGCAGTAGTCCCAACCAAGATGGGGGGACGTGTGAGCTGAAGCATTTGCCTGCAAACAGAATGCAGGAGAGGCCAGTGCATCTGAGATGCCAAGAGGTAAGAAAACGGCACTTTTAATGGGCGGCAGACCCCAGGTGGTGCGTGGACAGACCCTGTCCACAGCACCTGGCTCCTGTGCTGCCTGTCCTTCTGTCTGGAATGCCACATAGAAGCTCCTCTCAGGTGGCATCAGGGGAGCAGGTCCCAATCCTGAAATATACAAAGTGGCGCCTCCCACTGGGCAGTGGTCACTGGGCTGCACAGTCCTTTCGAGTCCTAGGGTGGCCCCTCAGGTCACTGCTTGGCCTTCTTCACAATGGTGCCCACAGCAGAGATGACGGTGGTCTTGGAGCCGCTGGCGCTGGTGGTGACCGTGACGACAGCCGGCAGGGTGGCTGTAGTGGTGAGGATGGTGGGCTGGGCTATCGTCGTCACTGGGATAGCCGAGTCCCACTTGCTCTTTCTCTTCTGAGCATCTGGAGATAAAGCAGAAGTCAGGATCGCGATCCACTAATGAGCAGCGCTCTCCTTCCCTTCCCCTGCAGGCCAGCACGGGCCTAGGGAGCAGAAACCGAAGGGGCCCCCCCAAGACTCCAAAGCTGGTTCTCAAAGTCCCTGCTTAGAAAAGAGCAAGGCTGAGCCTAGGCCTAGATCCACGTGTTGTCTGTTGCCCAAACTAGCCAGGGAGACACTGGCTCCGTGTGTATGGCAGGAGGCAGGGAGGCAGGGCAGCTCTGCAATCTACCTGCAACAGCTGTGCTGGCAGTGGTAGTGGTGGTGGCCGTGGCGTTGGTCGTGGTGCCTTTCTTGGTGCCCGTCACAAACTCAATCTGGAGAGGGAGAGGGAAGAGAATAAGGCTGGGCAAAGCTGGGTGTCCATAGCCTTTTGCCATCCGTCAGCTCCTGGGGGACAGGAGCTGGGCACTACACAAAAGAGGCAATGGAAATGAACTCTGCTCTGACCATCTGGGGGAGGGCGAGGTGTCTAAGAACCCAAAGGGGCTTTTCGCTCTTAAAAGAACTTTCCAAACAGTACTGGATCCCTCCCGGCATCACCAGGTCTCTGCACATGCCCGGCACCCCCGGCCCACCGCCCCACCTCACATGCCCAGAACCGTTTGGCCAGGCCCCTCCTCCTCACACCCAGGAGGAGGCGGCGCCCGCCCGCACAGGGGAAGGACAGCTCCGGTCCCCAGGCGCTGCAGACACGTCCCTGCAACAAGCCTGGGGTTTGGAAGGGAGAGGGAAAGAGAGAGAAGGGAGATTCAATCAAGGGTTAAGAATGAGAAACCCCGATTATCCCCTTGCACCAGCTCCCACGTTCCTGGCCCAGCAGCCAGTGACTCCAGAGGGCCACCAGCATGCCCAGGCCCCAGAGCCCCTCTGCCTGGGGTGAGGGAAGCAGTCTGGAGGCCGCAGCTGCTTGAGGATGGTCAGGCCGAGCCAGACGTGGGAGGAGCTGGTGTCCTGATGCCTGGCTCCGAGACTGGTCACAAAGGGAACAAGGCCCAGAGATAACACTTTGGTCTCACAGCCAAACTGATGCTCCCTGAAGAACCCAGACCACACTGCTGGGGAACAAGTGGCGCTCAGGGCCCTAACATGGGACCTAATAGGTAGCACCCAGGCGGGCCACCGAGGGCAGCTCTGGAGGCCAAGAAACTCACTGAGCAGAGCAAGCTGGGCCCGGCACTCTCTTAGGGAATTACTTCCCTCCCTTCAGGCCACAGAGGGCACCCACGACCCAAAATAGACAAAGCCTCCCAAGGTTCTGCAATTGAGGGGAGGAAGGGGGTCACAACGCAGCAAGCAAGACTCCAAGGGCAAGGCAGCAGGCGAGCACCGCAAACCCAGAGCAGGGCCTGTGCACTGACATGGGGCCAGGGCGGGGGGCAGCCTGGACAACCTCTGGGCTCAGCCAGCAGGACCCATGCACTTCACATCTGCCTTTTCCATCTAGGAGGTCTGCCATCACTTACTTTCGTTCGCTCCTTTTTGGCCTTTTCCAATTTGTCCATCTCAATCTTCTGGGCCTTGGCTATGAAGACAAGAGAAGCTGTTACAAAGGCGGCCCCTGAGCCGCTCTGGGCTGAGGGAGCCGACTCTGATCCCTGCGTTCTTTTCAGTGGGCTAAAGGTCTTCATGGGCTCAGTGCTCTTCGTGCTAGGCAAAATGAAGCCAGCCCTTGCTTGGCGTAGGGCAGGGGCCTTCAGCTCCAGACTGGAGGGCTGCATGCCCCGTGTCTGTGTCTGGAAGGGTCAGCTACTCCTGAGCTCCTGTGGACTGCCGCACACGGAAATACAGGCCCAATGGGGACTACCTTGCTACTGACTGAGAGAAGCTGGAATCAGAGATTATTATGTAAAATGTTGGCAATGAATTCAAAATAAAAGACAGTAACATTCATGAAGGCCAAACAAAGCACCTCTACAGGCCAAGATCTGGGCCATGGGCTACAGGCTCAAGACCTATGGTCTAGGGGTTTGGGCCCTTTGACATTCCTCCCAGTTCTCCCAAACTGGTACCTTAAGAATAAGCCACCCTCTCAGAACATTCTGCCTGCACCTGCCTGGCCCCTCTGCCTCTTCAAACCTCAGCTGGAACACAGTTTTGTCAGTGAGACCTTCCCATCCCTTTGGCCAGATTAGATGACCCTGCTTGCCAAAGCTCCCCTGTACCCAGCAACTCTGTCATCACCAACACTTCATCGATGCTGGCATTACTGGCGTGATGCATTACTGGCATCTTCTTTGCTGTGGCATAAGCCTCTTAAGGCAGGGGTGGGTCTGTCTCATTCAGGCCTGTACCCAGCCCCTTGAACATGGCCTGACGTAAAGGAGACCCTGAAATACGTGTTGCCTGGATAACCAACTGACTGGATAAAGGGACAGTTGGGTGGGCGGACGAGGTATATGGGAGGAGGGATGAAAGGCTACCTAATGCCTCATAGTAGGAGTCCTCAGACCAGCCATGGGGATCAAACATATCCTGCAAAGGAAAAGGCGAAAGTTGCAGTTAGTAGGAACCGTCAGATGACAAATGACTCAGAAACCCAAGTTCCTTGCCTGAGTCTTTCCACAGAGCTTCCTGGTCTGGGGTCCCCTTACCTGGGGCTCGGCTGTCATCCCTGGTCTCTAGCCAAGGGGCAGCTGGCAAGTGCTGAAGAACACGGGAGCATGAAGCCCCCATCCAGTGACCCCCAGGAGCAGCAGGTCCACACATGTCCCCACCAGTCAGGGGCCAGACACCAGGTCGGCCACTGGAATCTCTTTATTGGACTATTTCAGAACAACAGGGACTCAAACACAAGACATGGGGACTGTGCTTTCAACTAGCGGTGCCACTACATGGACCCTTCTGTGGCTGCAGGTCAAACCCCATGGAACAAGCACAGGACCCTGGGTGTCCCCATCACCCTCCAGCTCCGTGTGCCAGACGTACCTTTGGGTAGTTGGTGCCAAGCTCGTCAATGGCACAGAACTGGATCAGCTTCTCGTAGATGCTGAAAAAACAGCATAGGCGTTGAGCAGGCACAAGTCCACGTCCCTGCCTGGGGCCTGAACCATCCAGCTCCTGGGGCTGACACAAAACCTTCAAAACCTTTAAATCCAGCTCAGCTGCTCTAAGCAAGCTTCCTGATGGCCCTACACCCTCCCAGGGAGATGGACCTGTTAACTAAGGGCCGGGAGGAGCATGGGGTCAAGGTGATGGCTGAGTTTTGTCCCACTGACCTTCAGTCTGCATGGCTGGGTTGGGCTCACCACACTCAGGCCCACACAAGGGCCATGCTCTTTCCCCCGTAAGTCACTAGCTTGAGCATTAAATGGAATAAGACCAGACATAGCTCTGGTCCTAAGACCTCTCACCTATATGCAAAAATCAGCTTTTTAGAGTTGAAAGATGAACCTATAGTAATTGTCTAGTCCAATTCCTTCCATGAGGACAGGGGTCTTGAGAGGTCATGTGCTTTAGGCTCAGAGCAGGGACGAGAACTCAGCCAGGTCTCCCTCATCCCCGTCTAGGTCTCGGTATGGATTGCTTTGTGTTTTGTCAGGATCTTAAATGGCAAGCCTCTGGCTGGGTTAGCATAGTCTGCCGTGTCCAGCAGGCACTCAGTGTAATGACAAGTCTGGGTGATGGTTTGGGCTTAGGGCTTTTCCTCACCACCTCCTTGGGGACGTCCTTAATCCAACATTAATAACTCAATAAACTCTGCAGGCTCAAGGGAAACTTACCTGGGGTTCCGAAATTCTTTCTTTCTTTGGATAATGTAGTTCATATCCATTCCCTCCTTTATTTTTCGTTCATAAAGCTTCTGGATCTTGTCCTATGGAAGAGGAGCAGAGGGGTGTATGACAGAAGCCCACCCCTCCACCATCCCAGCCCCTGGTCACCAGCTACGTGTGCAGCATGAACGTGAGGCTCCAGAGCCACGCAAAGCCCAACTTGACCTCATGTTAAAATTTAACCTATTCTTGGCCGGGCGCGGTGGCTCATGCCCGTAATCCCAGCACTTTGAGAGGCCAAGGCGGGTGGATCACGAGGTCAGGAGATCGAGAACATCCTGGCTAACACGGTGAAACCCCATCTCTACTAAAAACACAGAAAATTAGCCGGGCATGGTGGCAGGCACCTGTAGTCCCAGCTACTTGGGAGGCTGAGGCGGGAGAATGGCGTGAACCCAGAAGGCGGAGAATTTAACCTATTCTCAGCCGGGCGCAGTGGCTCACGCCTGTAATCCCAGCACTTTGGGAGGCTGAGGTGGGTGGATCACAAGGTCTAGAGATTGAGACCATCCTGGCCAACATGAAACCTCGTCTCTACTAAAAACACAAACAACATTAGCTGGGTGTGGTGGGGCACGTCTGTAATCCCAGCTACTTGGGAGGCTGAGGCAGGAGAATCGCTTGAACCTGGGAGGTGGACATTGCAGTGAGCTGAGATCATGCCACTGCACTCCAGCCTGGTAACAGAGTGAGACTCTCTCAAAAACACGAAACAAAAAATTAACCTATTCTTTTTCCACCCTACCTTTTGCCCAGAATTGCACACAAGTAACATAAACCAAGACCAGGCTGCTTTCACTGCTGAGGTTTCCTGACGCTCTCTGGATGACAATATAGTGAGCAGTGAAAAGATCACAGCAGAGGAGCCACGGAGAAAAAAATGAACAAAGCCCCAACTGGTTAATCAGTTCCAGAATCATCCGAAGCAGGGTGTAGGGTACTGGTGTTGATATGCAGGGAATGAATCCTGGTTTTAAATTTTAACATGAGGTCAAGTCCTCAGCAGAACTGTGAACCACAGGAGACTTCGGAAGGGCTATGGCCTTTTCATGGGAGGCAGGAGTAGTTGTTTGGATTCGGTCTTGCAAGCTTTTTAGAATGTGTCTTTTACGGGGAGGCGCACAGGTGGCTGGTCCACGCTGGCTTATCGAGGGTATCAAGGGTTAACTGCTTCTCTCTCACCCAAATTCCCCACAGGTCATGCCTGGCTGTCAGTGGGAGAGTGGAGAACCACCACGGGGGATGCAGGCTGACCTACTGCGGCCAGTGCCACAGGCGTCCTCAGGAAGGGGGTCCTCCCCAGCCCATGGACATGATGCCCAAAGTAGATGGCATCAGCATGGCCCAGTGCCAATGAAGAGGGCCAAGACACCAGAGCCACCTCTGGTAAGAGCAGTCTCAGCCAGGAAGGCGGGCACTGGTCCAGGGCAAGATCTACCTGCAGCCTCCCCCTGCAGTGGGGCTTAAACAGAGATTCTCCAGAAGGGAAACACCTGAGGCACTGTGCCAGCAAAGCGGGCGGGCAGGCCTGGAGGGCCCAGGTGACAGCGTTTAGGACATGTCAGGAGGGGTGATCCACTCCCTTTATTAGAGGCCAAATCTTTCTACCGAGACTGGCCAGAGCAAGAGCTGAACCGCAGAGGGAGGTCTGTGATATAATCGCCGAGACTGAAGAACTTCTGTCCTCCAAGCTATCTCCTCCAGGGTCATGGAGGGAGCCATATATAGAAGGCTCAGCAACTTGAGGAGAACCCATGTCATACAGATGACTTGGCTGCGTCTCCTGGGCCGTAAGATCAGTTCTACCACCCCAGATGAACTAAAATGTTTGCTCAAATGCCATGGTTTCCACCATCAGGAGGGTCTAAAGAGGAGGCACATTTGGCACTGCAGGCAGTGCGCCAGCTGTCTCTGCCTGGCGGGTTGCTGGAGTTGTCCTTACAGGCTGGAGCTTGCTGTCTGGTTGTCTGGCATGGAGGGTGACGTGATTCTGGAGGGTGGTGGTGGGGAGACGACTCAGCAATGGGAGGAGACTTCCGGGAAGGGAAGATAATCTGCCCTGCACCCCCAGTTCTGACTCTGGCCCTCCCCCAGCTTGCTGCATTCCTTAGCCTCAGGTCCCATTAGTCATCCATCCGTTAGGGCGGTGTCACAGGCTTGCTGTGCAGCCAGAGGCCCCCAGTGGAAGCTCCAGGATCAAAGGTGAAGCAGGTGGCCCAGGAGCCATGATTGTGCAGCCTTGGGTGCCTGTTCTATTGTTCATCACAAGGGAACCCACAGAGGGACAAGGAGAGCCACGGGCTGAACCCCAGATGTCCCCCCCGTGAGTGTAACTGCACAAAAGCTTCGACTCCTTGGGATTTGAAAACCTCCTGTCAGTGCTGCATTCTGTCAAGCAAGAAGCTACTGAATCAGCATTTTAGAAATAGATTAGCGTAGAAAAATGTATATATATAAATGCTTGTGATTTTTTCATTTCTGTAATTTATTTTACATTCTGAGGGTTCCTCAGTTTCTTAGCAAAGCTCTTTCTCAGAAGCTCCCATTGGCCCAGTAGGGCTGCAGAGAAAAGGTTATGTTCTTTTCTCTGTCTCTGCTTAGGACCTCACTGAGGGCAAGCCAGGGCCGCCCTGCTGGAGCAGCACCAGGGGACATGGTGGTGGGTGTAGGAGCCAACTCCTGAGATGAGGCTAATAGGAGGTAAAGAGGACTGCAGGATCCTTCCCACCTGTCAGTTTCTTTTATAGAAACCTCGGTCCCTTTCTCTGCCATGGTCTCTTAAGGTTAAGACCAAATCAAACACATAACCCAGGCTATCTAATCTATCTGACCTCAGTAGCCAAGCCTCATGCTTACTTGTAAGTGATTTGAACATCTGCCAGGGGGTTCTGGCGGGATCTTGATTTCATCAGGCGACATGTTCCGAACTCTTTCAGAAAAGGAGGCTATTGAGAGAAGAAGGAAAAATTCTGTAGGTGGGGATCAGAACAAGGGACAGACATGGACAAAAAAACATAAGCACATAAAATGTTATCAGGTAGGGATAAACACTATGAAAACAGTACAACTGAGTGTTCAGATGTGGCCTCTGTGAGGTGTCATCTCAGCTGAGAGTGAATGACCAGAAGGGGTGGGCCATGTACCAGCTTGGGAGAAGAAAAGTTCAGACAGAGGGTATAAATGTATACAGTAATTAACGTTTCCCTTTTTTTTTGTTGTTTTTTAAAGAGACGGGGTCAGCTGGGTGTTGTGGCTCGCACCTATACTCCCAACATTTTGGGAAGCTGAGGTGGGCAGATCATTTGAGGTCAGGTGTTCTAGACCAGCCTGGCCAACATGGCGAAACCCTGTCTCTGCTAAAAATACAAAATCAACTGGCAGGGTGATGCACACCTGTAAACCCAGCTACTCGCGAGGCTGAGGAATGAGAACTGCTTGAACCTGAAGGTAGTGGCTGCAGTAAGCCAAGATTGCGCCACTATACTCCAGCCTGGGTGACAGAGTGAGACTCTGTCTCAAAAAGGAAAATAAAATACAGAAAATGAAATAGAGACAGGGCTTTTAGTCTGTAACCCAGGCTAGAGTGTAGTGGTACAATGATAGCTCACTGCAACCTCGAACTCATCTCAGCTTCCCAAGTAGCTAGGACTACAGGTGCACGACACCATGCCTGGCTAATCTTAAAAGTTTTTGTAAAGATGGGGTCTCGTTATGTTACCCAGGCTGGTCTTCAACTGTTGGATCAAGCCATCTTCCCGCCTTGGCCTCCTAAAGTGCTGGGATTATGGGTATGAGCCACTATGCCTGGCCCACAACGGTTAACTTTTAAGGAAGAGTCAGCAGTGTGCTGGTAAATGTTTAATCACCAGCTGGGTGTGGGGATGGAGAAAGGGGGGAGGCACCATGATCTATGGCATTTGCCATTTCTTGTGGTGTAAATTCTTCTGCCATAGCCAATTTCAAGCTACCAAGGTAAAGTCACTGAACCCAAGGCTGGGAAGAGACGTACACAATAGGCTCACCACGTAAGCCAGCTGCAGCCACCACTGCACGTCTCTTAAACCAGCACCAGCCACCACTGGATATGTCTCTAAAATACTTGCAAGACTTTTGAAACTCAGAGGTGCTTGGTGCCACCTGTCTACATCTACGGCTAACCTGCCTAGGCTCCAGGAGAAACAGAATTCAGGGTTCCCTAAGTTTTGGGTCGCAAAGTAAACAAAATGGCCGTGTGCATAAATGATACTTACTACCGTTATCAGCTGAGGATCTTTTAAAAATAAACAAATCAACTCTCTCTTAGCCCACCTCATTCCTGAGAACAAAAGGCCCGTTCTGGTGGGAAGAACCACAACCCCCAGGGGACAATTTCCTCAGAGATCTGCCACGGTCGCCAGGCCTTGCTCTCTCCAGCCCCTTCCCCGCAGCCTCGGGCCACCCCGCAGCCTCGGGCCACCCGGGCACTGCAGTCTTGCTTTGGCTCGCTGGGACAATGTGTTATTTGTTGTTAAGATTCTGTCTGCTCTTCAAAACACTCCCTCATGAAAAGGATCATACAATAAGCAAAGAGCAGGCAGGCAGGGTGGGGCAGGACGAAGAGAAAGAATGAACAAACCACCAATAACACTCAGCAAGCACTTACTGGGCACCTACTGTGTGCAGGCCTGCTAACCCACTGCTGAGCTGGCCGGGCTGGCTTCGCAAGGCCAGCCCCTTCTCCTCTGCCCAGGCTGGGTTAATGTTTGCTTAGTAGATAAGGTGCTTTGATCTCTGCCTGGAGTTTCAAGTTACTGTAAAGAACACAGTGCCGAGGAGGGCTGGGGACAAGGCTCCCAGACTCTGCCAGTCCAGCTGCGGCAGGACAAGCCCGTGCACACTATAAATACGCTCTGAGACAGGGGTCGAGCCTGGGGCCATCCTAAAAACATGACTTCATGCGCTGATTTTCACTGCTGTCAGTGGATTCTCACTGGAAGCACCCCAAGAACAGAGCACCAATCTGCCATTTTGGATGAGGGCAAGAGGACAGAGACTGGCTGACACATTGATCAGAGGTCCTGTGGATCCCAGATGCCAGTGCAGCCCAAGAGCCAGGGACGAGGTGCTTCTCTTTGCCCAGCACCTTCCTTTGGTCTCCTGACTCCTCAAGCAAAGCTGACACTCAGATATGGCTGGAATTCAACTCTCCTCCAACTTCCTCCTTCCTCCCAGCCCTGGAATACGTGAAAGTGCTAAGCCTGAGGTTGCAGAAGCTGGTGGAGAGTGGAATCAGCTGCAGGGAGCTGGTCCTATCTCACAAGCAGCAGCAATAAAAGCAAGGAGGGCCTTGGCAGGCGCTGGGTACATAAATAAGCAGGGTTAACTTCTTCCCTGGGCTGGAGAGTGCGTATGTGTGCATGTGACAGAGACAAAGAGTGCCCTTTGGCATTTGCCAGGAAAACCTTTTGGAAAAACAGGGTGTGACCCTGTTGCCACAGCAACCCAGTCACACTCTGGGGCTCACATGGTGTACAGTATAAGAGGACGGGAGCCCCTCCTGAGCCTGGGGCTTGAAACAAGATAATTCCTAGGCAGTTACTGTCAAATAAAGGGACACATTCAGGAAAACTAGATACAAGTATACACAGAGCGTGGAAGCAGCCTTCAGTGACCCTCTCCTTCCTGAGTCCTGGAATGAATCTCATGTGGGAGACGCCAGCCCCACATTTCTGTTTATTTTTTTTGAGACGGAGTCTCACTCTATCGCCCAGACTGGAGTGCAATGGCGTGATCTCAGCTCACTGCAACCTCCGCCTGCCAGGTTCAAGCAGTTCTCTTGCCTCAGCCTCCTGAGTAGCTGGGACAACAGGCACGTGCCACCATGCCTGGCTAATTTTTTTTTTTTTTTGTATTTTTAGTAGAAATGGGGTTTCACCACGCTGGCCACCTCAAGCCATGTCCCCAGGACATCCATAGAGCAATGTGTCCACAGTCTCTTGGAAGCAGTGCTGGGTCTGTGGCTGCTGCCTGGGCATGATGGGGGTGTTCTCAGAGGCAGCCGCAGTTAGGACTTGAGAAGCCAGCTGTCAGCGTGAGTTGCCCTGGTGCGTGCCCAAGTCAGAAAACACCCAGAGTACCCACAGCTGCCATGGAGGGATCTGTGCAGGAGTAGCTAGTTGGACGGGCTCATGGGATGGCAGGGAGTGAGTGAGCTGGGGGGCTCCAGGGCACAGTAGAGTATCTCCAGCTCCTGAGTAACACAGAGAACCCACGCCCACTGCCACACCAGCACCACTGCTCCAGGCTCAGCCGTGGGCATCGGCGAGGCCCTGGAGGGCACTGAGAGGGTGTGCATGCTTGGCTCTGTCTAGGGGCTGAGTGCTGCAGACGCCTGTGGCTTGGCTTCTCTGCTCTCCTGCTTGTTCTCTTAAAGCTGGGGCTGTCTACATGCATGGACATGCTTCCCATACCTGGTAAGCAACCTGAGTCCTGACACCAGAGCGGACAAAAGAAGCTTAGGCAGAGAGGCTGACAGGCACTGCATCATGAATGGAAGCCACTGTCCTTCAACTAATTACGTCTTTAGTAAGAGGAACTAAACCAGCTACTCGTTAATGAGGAATGGCGAGTAATCAAAACGATGCCGCTTAAAGATCCATTTTTGTCCTCCACAGGTGAATGAGTAAACAAACTGTGGTGTATCCCTACAGTGAAATAGTACTTGGCTACAAAAAGGAACTCTGGATATGCCCAACATGGATGAGCCTTGCAAGTACCATACTGAGTGAAAGAAGCCAGACAAAACCCTAGTTCCCTTTCTACCCTGCTTCTCAACTGCGGCTGATTCTGCCCTAAGGGGACATTGATCACTGTCACATCTGGGGGAGGGAGAGTGCTTCTGGCATGCAGTGAGTAGGCAGAGACCAAGGACACTGCTAAACATCCTACAAAGCACAGGACAGCCCCACCACAAAGAATCATCCAGCCCAAAGTGTCAGTAGGGCCAGGGCTGGGAGATCCTGATTTACAGGAAATTCTAAAAAATGGCAAAGCTCTAGTGAGGAGCGTGTAGATCACGGCTTGCCCGCGGCTGAGGGAGGGAATCAGCTGTAACAGGATTGGGGCAGGAGGGAACATTTCAGAGTGATGGGCGCGTTCTGCATCACGACTACATGCATCTGTCAACATTCACCAAATGGCACCCCTAAAATTGGCAAGTCTTACTCTATGTAAATTACACCTCAATAAAGCTATTTCCAAAAAATGGCACAGGGAGGAAAAGTGACAAGTTGGCTCTGGAAGCGACTGGGGGCTGAAATGGCTGACGCCCACACACATTCCACTGCCTGCTCAGCACTGCTAGCAAGAGCGAGGGCATCTCTGCCTTGGCATGTGACAGGCTGCTCTCTGATCCCCGGCCGTGCAGTTTCTCACAGTGAAATGCACAGTTGGCTTGGGTGATGGTGGGGTAAGAGGCCAAGGCTCCTGCCCACACCCTGCTGGTGGATCGCCTCCTTAGGGCAGGCCATCAGCTTCCCAGCAGATGTGAACTCTGCTTCCTCTGCCCTCAAAGCCAAATGTTGCACTCCTACGGTGCCACTTTCTAAAGAACGAACCCTAGGTTTTAGGAAAGTCCTGGTTTGTATAGGATTTGAAAGACTGAAACTCCACCAGAGAAGCCAGGGATTTAAGGCCCTCCTGCTGAGGGTCTGGGCTGCTCAGCTTACTGTGTTCCCACCCAATCCTTCTTTTTCTTTTTTTTTTTTGAGCCGGAGTCTCGCTCTGTTGCCCAGGCTGGAGTGCAGTGGCGCGACCTTGGCTCACTGCAAACTCTGCCTCCCAGGTTCACGCCATTCTCCTGCCTCAGCCTCCCGAGTAGCTGGGATTACAGGCGCCCGCCACCTCGCCCGGCTAGTTTTTTGTATTTTTTTTTTTTTTTTGAGATGGAGTCTCGCTCTGTAGCCCGGGCTGGAGTGCAGTGGCCGGATCTCAGCTCACTGCAAGCTCCGCCTCCCGGGTTCACGCCATTCTCCTGCCTCAGCCTCCCAAGTAGCTGGGACTACAGGTGCCCGCCACCTCGCCCGGCTAGTTTTTTGTATTTTTTAGTAGAGACGGGATTTTTTTTTTTTTTTAGTAGAGACGGGGTTTCACCGTGTTAGCCAGGATGGTCTCAATCTCCTGACCTCGTGATCCGCCCGTCTCGGCCTCCCAAAGTGCTGGGATTACAGGCTTGAGCCACTGTGCCCGGCCCCAATCCTTCTTTAAAAGACAAACAGAATCAACAATTCCTAGCTCCTTTAGTTCAGGAAAAGGAGAACAGACTCCGTAGCAGAACTCCCAACAGAAAGGTCCTCCTGGGAGAAAGCCTGGGTGGGAGGGACTGACTACTGGGGCAGCGCTTCCAGGTGGTCCCTGGGCTCGGAACCCCCAGGGCTGGAGCCAGTGAGCCACTGAGGCAAGACCGCAGGAGGGAGGAGCCTGTTTGAGAGCCGGTAATGGCCGCCACAGAGAGGGAGGGCCAACTCCACCAAGAGCCCTGACTCAGCTGCCGGGAACTCCCCCAGGTCGGGCTTTGGGAGCCACATGAAAGGAGCTGGGGGGCTTTCTAAAAGGATTAAAAGCCTGGGGCTAGCACAGAACTTGGATGATGTGTGCTGTTTTCCAGAAACATAGTGTCCCTGCTCCTCCCAAATCACAAAGAGCCCCAGACTCCAGGGCTGTGAGGCATGCTCCCGCCTGGGGACAGAGCAAAGTGCCAGCAAAGGCCACATGCTGACTCCCTAAGCAGCATGCATATGCCAGCAGAGAGGGGGAGGAGGGGGTGCAAAGACAGAGGACAAGCCCAGGGCACTAGGGGAAGCAGAGACCAAGACACGCTCCCAGCTGAGGGGCCCTGAACTCCCTCTTGACAGCGTGGGCGACCAACCAAAGCCCAATAAAACATACCACAAATACGATTTTCAAAGAAGAACTGTTCCCTGGGCGTCTCGCCCGGGCATCCTAGGAAATGCCAAAGGCCCTGAGAGGGAGCCGAAGGGACATGGTGCTCACAGCAGACAGAAGCCCTGTGGGGCGGAAGGCGTGGCATGGCCGAAAGCCAGGCTGCTAGTGGTAAGGCTGAGAAACGTGTCCCCAGGATCCCCCAATACTCACCCACGAGTTCCTGGGGGTCTCGCTTTTCTGCTTCTGTATTATCCTGCAAAAGAGAAACAAACACGAGGAGGTAAGACTGGGGCTCCTGAACCAGCTACTCTCCACTGAGACCACTCATGGTTTTTAAGGAAGGAGAAAAAGTAAAAGCACTGCCAGGAACACTAAGGGTAAGCTGATGTTTCAGGGGCCTCTGGCACCCCCAAGCCGCCGAACCCTCTTCTTCCCGCATCGCAGCAGCCAGATGCTCTGGAGCCCAAGCCGGTCTCTCCTCCAAACCTCTTCAGTGACCAAACCCACCATCGCTGAGGAGAGCACACGCCAGCAAGCCTGCTGCGGCCCCCTGGGCAACGCATACCCTGCCTGTTGCTCTCCCCTGGGTCCGAGGAAGCTTGCCTGAATGGAGTGCAGAGTTCAAGGCCCCGGCCAGCCCAGACATCACCACCTCTACTGCTGGTACCAAGGAAGCAAGAGGCGACTGCTTTCTAACAGCAGACTCCTGAGATGAAAATGCAGACTAGCCGCTCCCAAGATACTTCTCTTATTTTTAGTTCAAAAAGGGAGGCTTCATCATAAGGATAAAGGGGCAGCTCACGGAACCTCAGAGAAAACGTGTAGCGAACCTTGAATAAGTGGCAGAATGGGGATCCGAGAGAGGCCCCAGGATCAAGGCAGCCTCTCTCTGGCTCTCAGCTCCCTTTCCACTGGCTTTATACTCCCTCCAAAGAAAAGCTTCCTCCAATCCCTAATGCAAACAGCATCCCACGACAGCCACGTCCACAAGTCCTACAGAAACCTGAGAGCAAAGGCTTCTGAGACATTTTCTGGATTTCACTGTTCCATAGTAAACGTTTCATCTAAACCAAAGTCAACGCTGAGAAAGCCACGGTCCAAGTCCTACGTCACAAGTCTTCCCCTGCCTCCACTGTCTCAAGTGTAAAAGGGCAAGAACACACGTCTCCCCCATTTCTGGGTTGCTGACACCCAGGCCCTCAAACCCAGTTAGATCAACAATCTCCAGGGCCATACGCGCTAATGATCAAAACAGCAGAAGCAGAGCTCACAGAAAGCTGTCAGGCCCCGTGTCCTTTCCCTCTGATGAGCAAGGGGGGAGATGAGACAGGAAGACTCTGCAACAAGACCTCGAGGACAGGTGCAGAGCTCCACCGGCTCCACTTCCACAGACATGGCACACCACGCCATGGCTCCGAAAGGAAGGTGCCAGGAAGGCCACCCAGTTCCCCACACCGAACCTAGACTCAGTCTTAGCCCCCTTCCCAAAAAGTCCCTCCTGATGCTGGGACAGGCCAAATTCCCCATTCCTCAGAACACTGCAGCTATTCATTCAGCCTGGCAGGGCACCACGTCCAGGCCAGGCTGCTTAGCAACCCATCTCTTCGAGCCACTGCCCCCTGCCAATCAGGTGGGCAAAGAGGAGGGTGGGAGCGGGCAGGGAGGCGCGCCTGGAGGACTGCCACACCAACTTCAGGTTGCAGTCATAAATCAGCGGCTCTCTAGAGACTGCCAGTCTCTCAGGGGACGAACAACAATCCCTTTGTAGCAGTGACTCTGAGGAAACCAATGTTCACGAGTGTTAGTAACAAAACATGGGACTGTAAAATGTCCTTACATTCTCCCTCTAGAGAACAGCTTTCTGGGTGCTGATGGTGGGAAAACATCAGCTCTTCCCGCACATGCCAGCTGGCTGATCATACAGGGACTGACCATTCATTAACTCTCCCTCCAGCCCCCACTCACCCTTCCCCAAGGCTCCTCACCACACCACACCCGCCCCTTCTCATGGACTCAACTGCAGAGGCCCAATCATCACGCGGGGAGTCTACCATGTCTACCCCAGAGCCACAGGAAGTTAGTCACCAAACACGCAACGGCTCTTCAAAGGGAAACACACTTGCCACTTCAGAGGCTCCTTAGGTCAAGTAAGAGGCCAGGAGCCTCCCCGTGGCTTCTTGTGGCTTTTGTGACCCTGCAGATGGAAAGGTGTGTGGGGTGTGTGTGCTGCCAGGCTCAGCTGAGGTTGTTGAGTCACGTCTCTGGAAAAAAAGAGATGATGGGGCAAAATCACAGGAAGGATTTTATCCCTTTATTTCAGTCTTTCCCTTTAGCTTGGCTCTTCAGTCCCCCCTAAATTATTCCTTCTATGCCTAAGAAATAAATAAACTGGATAGTTGGGTTTCAATTTGCCAACTAGTCTGGTCTTTGCTTTTCTAACCTCTTAGTACAAAAAAAGGGCATGGCATGCCCAGAGCACCCCTTCAACTCGCAACAAGAGGACTCTCATTCAGTACTGAACCTGAGGCCCAGAAACAAGGCCCGCCCAACTTCCCAGCAGTAGAATCCAGCTCCACGGGCCCTCCCACCCTCAGTGCCTCTGAATAAAGTAATGACCGATGGACCACAGACCCAACTCCAAGTTCAAGAAGATTCTCCTGCCTTACGAGAACCCATCAAACCAAATGCATGAAGTAGCCTGGCCAGCTCAGAAGCCATACGAGTGTGCACGCTCAGGAGGAGGCCAGAGCTGCTGCACTAGGGTCTCCTAAGACGACTCTGGAGTCTGTGTTGGTTCAGATTCCCATTTGTATCAGGTACCCTTGGGACCTAGAAGGCTCTGGAGAATCAAGCTGGGAATCTGCCTCCTGCTGGCTATACCTTGTCATGTTTAGAACGTGATTCTTCTGCCCTTTGAGTCCAACAAGCTGGGTCGTGAGCTTGCTGAGCCCTGGGCGCCTCTGTCACTGTGCCGAGCTTCTCCTGAAGAAGAAAGACAACAACCTAAGTTCTCTGGATCCTAAAGTGCCCACCTGGCCAGATGCAGTGGCTCACGCCTGTAATCCCAGCACTTTGAGAGGCTGAGGTGGGCCGGACTGCTTGAATCCAGGAGTTTGGGACCAGCCTGTCATCCCAGCTACTTGGGAGGCTGAGGCGAGATCACCTGAGTTTGGGAGGCTGAAGCTGCAGTGAGCTATGATTATGCCACTGCACTCCAGCCTGGGTGACACACGGAGACCCTGGAATACCCCAGAGCTGCTTTTTAGTACCATTTACACACAACTATCCACTGAATCAAGTTTCATTCAATAAGAGTGACCTCTATTCAAACAGTAACGATATTCCTCTATAACAACCTCCACCACAGGCAGGACAGGCCTAAAGAGATACCCTCTTACCAGTCATGTCTCCGATACCAGGTATTCAGTATGAAAAACGAACCAAGCACCCATGACAGTTATCATGGAAGCCAGCCACGTGTCAGAAAAAAACCTGTGATGAACAATTTATTTTATAATTTAAAAAAATTATTTTATTTTTAGATTTGGCGGTACATGTGCAGGTCTGTTACATGGATACATTGTGTAATGGTAAGTAAGGTTTGGGCTCCCAGTGTACCCGTCACCCAGAAAGTGAACACCGTACCTGATAGGTAATTTTTCAATCCTCACGTCCCTCCCAATGAAATATTTCAAATGATAAAACTAAGGAGATGGAAAAAAGGCTCAATTATTAAACTGCCAGTCGTTCAAGGCACCGGTATTATACCACCTGCTCTAGGGGGAGAGTCTCATTATGCCCTTAAAGAGGCAGGAAGTGGGAAGAAGGGCTATGAGGATACAAGTAAAAAGCAACAAGAAAGCACTGTTCATCTCTTCCCCGCCAGCGGCGTTTTGAAATGCACAGGAAACACCTGTCTCGACTCGTAGGAATCCACCCACTGGCCTCCAGGTAGAAATTCTCAGTTGGTCAAAGTAATGAACTCATCCTGCATGTCTACTCACCAGGCATCCGTCTACATTAGCCAGAGGGCACAGAACCCGCAGCCCAGAGACATGAGCAACACCACAGCCAGAACAGGCTGAGGGCTTTTCACCCCGTTCCTAAGGAAGGTGAAAACAAAGCGCCTCACCTAGGAAAGGAAGGCCGCTCCTGGCAGAAAAGACAGCCCCTCATTCAATTCCAATCAAGACACAAGGAAAAACAGACTGGGCGTGCTGGGAGGCTGAGGCGGGCACATCACTTGAGGCCAGGAGTTTGAGACCAGCCTGGACGACATGGTGAAATCTCCTCTCTACTAAAAATACAAAAATTAGTCAGGCATGGTGGTGCATGCCTGTAATCCCAGCTACTTGAGACGTGGAGGCTGCAGTGAGCCGAGATTGCGCCACTGCACTCCAGCCTGAATGAGCAAGATTGTCTCAGGAAAAAAAAAAAAAAAAAAAAAAGACACAAGGAAAAACAAGAAGACAAAAACAAAAGCCAAGTTAGAAAACAGAAGGGAGGAAAGAGGAAGTATGGTTTAAATGCTGAGCTGGTGGAGAACACCAATCTGAGCTGAGGTCTCCTCCTCCGCCTGCACCCCTCATCTACCCAGACCCCACCTGAGACTAAAGGCCCAGCAACCAGAGCAGGAGGCGGCTGCGTCAGGCTGGGGACTGTCCCTGGAGAAGAATAGTGATTTCAACCTGCCAATTTGGTTTCTTAACCAACTGTGACTGAGACTTGGAAGATGCAACAGCCATGGCTGTAGGTCCTCAGGAATTACAGAACCTGGAATATGGTTCCTCCTGCAGAGAATACAAAAGTCCAGCCACTGATGAAGCTGACTGGAGTGCAGGAAGGAAGCAACAACAATATAAACCCATGAAACTGGACAAGCTGCCATTTGAGCTGGGAGGATTTACTCAGCAGAGAAGTACCAAGTCCTGAGTAAGAGAATGGAGGTTCATTTACAGCCAACAATGCTTCCTCAATCCTTCCTGGAACCGGCCCCACAAAGCTCCAGTGTCAAACCTGAGTTCCGCAACGGCAGCCACCAGCATCTAGATCCCGCCAAATCTAAATGTCACATTTTCCTTCCAGCTCGGAGCAGCCGGGGAGCAGCCGGCACAGAGAAAGCACTCTGAACAGGGGCACAGGGCAGCCAGCCCTGAAGCCACGGGCGAGAATGCTACAGACTGGGGGTTTCCTGTTGGATAATGTAATCTTGCATCTTACAAGTATGTGGCAGCTAGGGAGGCAGATTAGTAAAATGACTCCTTTCAAACCTTTATTCTCTCAGACCTGGGACAGCCCATGGCCTGATGAGATCTCACTTCACGAGCACAGTGGCTCCTTAAAAACAGATCCTCACTGTGGCCCACGAGCCCTGAGGATCCCCTGCCAGCCATTTCAGCCTCTTCCTCCCCTTTCTGCACCCGGGATCTTTGCAATGCCTACTCCCGGAAATTGCCTTCTCCCGACTCCTGCCTAGAAAGCCCCGTGTAGGCCTCAGCCCAGCCCAGGGAAGCCTTCCTCTACCCTCACGCCCACTTGGCCAACGAAGAGAAACTACCCTACTCTGTGTACTCACAAAAATCACCTCCTGTAACAGTCTGCCTGGCCCACAAAAGGTGCTCAAGCACTGATCTCTCTCTCTCACACATACACACACACACCTCCCGCCAAACACTGTCAGTGTGTCTTGTCAAGTTTAGGTTCCACACCTACCTTCAGCTGTTATGTTTTAACTTCAGACTCCCAGCCTGGTCAACTCTACAGCGAGTTTCATGTGTAGATTCACTAGAAATGTCAGATGGACAGGCAGCAGAAAAGCAGCTGTAGGCTTGCAATAAAAGTCTGCCAAGGAGCAGGAGAAGGTGGGGAGGGGACACCAATGCTGAATTACAAAAAAATTTCAAACCCAATTCTTTATTCATCTTTCTGCATCATTTTTTTTTTTTTTTTTGAGACAGGGTCTCACTCTGTCACATAGGCTGGAGTACACTGGCACAATCATAGCTCACTGCAGCCTTGACCTCCTGGGCTCAAGCAATTCTCTTGCCTCAGCCTCCCAAGTAGCTGGGATTACAGGCATGCACCACCATGGCTGGCTAATTTTTAAATTTTTTGTACAGATGGGGTCTCACTATGTTGCCCAGGCTGCTCTTGAACTTGTAGGCTCAAGCAATCCTCCTGCCACAGCCTCCCAAAGTGCTGGGATTACAGGTGTGAGTCACCACATCTGGCCCTGCATCCTATTTCTGAACACTGGGCCTAATGCTCTTAAATCCTAAGACAAGAAGAATTACTATATAGTTAATTCATTTATTTTTTCAATTAATTTATTGAGCATCATTTATACACCAAGCAATGGGCCAAGCATTGAGGATAAAATATGAAAACTCAATCTAGGGGAGTAAGTTTAGGTATTACGTTAAGCTCTTCAATTAAGAATCTCATTTAATTTTCACAACAGTCCCATGAAACTGTGCTCTTAACCATCAGGCAATACGACTGCTTCAGAACAACTGCTATGCCATCCTCCAACAACTGCTATACCCTCTTGCGGGGGCATCAAAGTAATAGTTAAAACAAGGTTTTCTGAGATCAATGTGAGTCACTTCAGGCTGCCAAGAAAGCAACAATGCTGGATTACCTTCATAAAATACCTCCAAGTTCCAGAACAAAATGATGTTGGTTTGACAGAGACATGGTTGGGGGCTAGGAGTGAGAGCTGTCAACAGTTCAGTAAAGCCTCCAAACCCATGCTGCATGGGAACATCCCACCCTGGGGGCCAGATGCCAGCCACCCCCACTGGAGAGCCCCAGAGAAAGCCCATCGCTAGCACATTTCCTTTAGTTGTATCCTGTCGGCCAGGACTAAGCCACTGCCGTGGGCACACTGCCTGCCTGGGAATGGAAACACTCCATTTATTAGAAAAATGGGCGGAAGTTGGTGGGGCCCTTTGGGACACATTGGGGTTGCCTTTGCTCTCAGACCGCTTATTGACAGGAAGGCTCTGCTCTCAACCACAGGTTTCCTTTTTTTTTTTTTTTGAGATGGAGTCCCGCTCTGTTGCCCAGGCTGGAGTGCAGTGGTGCAATCTCAGCTCACTG